AGTTTTGGAAATATTTAACCAAGGGATATATTTGTTTTTTGAAGTGAAAATTCTATTTGGTTTCATCCGAACTCTTGCAGCAACTAGGGAATGGTCAGTATCACAGTCAGCACTGTGGTAGCTGCGAGTTTGTGATACACAGTTCAAGTGCTGCTTCCTTGTGAGAATAAGGTCCAGCTGGTGCTAGTGGCCAGATCTTAGATGTTTCCATGACACCTTATGGTGGTCTTTAGTTTTGAAAAGGAGTTTATGATGCACAAGTCACTTCTAGTACGGAATTCCAATAGTCTCTGCCCATTTTCATTCATGTGGCCAACATTATATTTTCCAAGACAAAACGGCCATGAGTTTGAGTCTGACCCTGCGCGAGCATTAAAATCACCAAGTATACAGAAGCTGTCAGATTTAGAAATTGATTTCACTGTGTTATCCATTTCCTCATAAAAAGAGTCCTTTGCGTCTTCTGCTGACGTTAGAGTGGGTGCATATGCAGTAACAAGGGTAATAAAACCGCTTGAGGCAGACAATCGTAGGGATAATATTCTGTCACTTCCTCCAGTTAGACTCTCAACTGATCCTAACAATGAATTCTTTACTGCAAATCCCACTCCATACATCCTGATTTCTTCCTGGCCTCTGCCTTTCCAGAAAAATGTATAGTTTTTTTTCTCAAATAGACCCATCCTCTGGCAGACGGATTTCTTGTAGGTCATCAATATCTATGTCAAGTTTGTTGAGTTCGGCATCAATGATAGCCGTTTTTCTCACATCATTAATGTTTTCCAGGTCAGTGGAAAACCCTGGACACATGGTCCTCACGTTCCAAGAGCCAAGTCGAAGCTTGGGATGATGTTTCTTTTTATTGCCTGGTGCACTGGTTTTACAGCCTGCGGTTCGGATTTTGTTCTAGCTCCAAGCACCCATTGAAGCTATGGCGGATCAACACCTTACTGGCCCAGCTTAAGGCGTGCGGTAGTTGATCAGTGACATTCGAAGATGTCTCCCACCATCAGAGGCAACCCGTGGCGCCCCTGTCTACGCCAAATGACAAGGACTTATAACCCGTAACTGCCGCCTCTCGATTTGTTTCCGAGACCAATTAAGGCCAGGGATAATATTCCTCCTCTCCATATAGCACAAAGCCTGAGCAGTGTTGTAGAGAACATATGTTGCCCATGCATAATGATCCCTCTCTCGAATGTTAAATCAGGCATGTCAAGCTAAGCCAGCCCCCTCTCACTCCAGGGCCACAATTTAATACAAATTATTGCAGTCTCTTCATTGCAGGTCGCAGGTGTGCTCATTGCGGGCAGCAGGTGTGCTCATTGCAGGTCGCAGGTGTGCTCATTGCGGGCAGCAGGTGTGCTCATTGCGGGCAGCAGGTGTGCTCATTGCGGGCAGCAGGTGTGCTCATTGCAGGTCGCAGGTGTGCTCATTGCGGGCCGCAGGTGTGCTCATTGCGGGCCGCAGGTGTGCTCATTGCGGGCCGCAGGTGTGCTCATTGCGGGCCGCAGGTGTGCTCGCAACGGCCTACATGCAGCATAGGGTCTGCCTGTTTGACATTCATGTGTTACATTTTATCTACAGAGGCATAATTTTCCTCTTCTAATTTTGAGCTACTTGTTGGTGCTTAAGCATAGACTTTTAATGCCATCTGTAGCACATTTTAAAACAGAATCCTTTCCCTCCAGAACTGAACTTAGTTAAGTAGCTGCCAAAAGGTTAACTGTACTCCAGTCAGTGCCGTCTCAGTGTGGTATACTAGGAAATGAAACCGCTACTAATCTTGTTGAGAAATGGGAGAATGTGAATATGGATACAATGCAGTAACATATTTTGAGAGACAAAGAGGGGTCATTCAGTATACCAAAAGGGGACAGACAAGGCCAGAGATGACTACCGCTTACTTGACCGACATAGACAAGTCATCATTCTACGCCTCAGAACAGTGGAGGACAAACAAGAGCTCATCACTGTACCCATGTGGGCTGTGCGCACAAACATCAAAACAAACCCTCAAGACTGTCCCTTCAACAGCTCATTATACTGGTCCAGTGAGTCAGCATTATTGACAGAGAATGAAATGGTTCAGCCATCTAGTGAGAATGCAACCAGACCAGACTGCATATGTGACTTTTTACAGTAGAACATCTGGGATTAATGCGAGGGGAAGACCAAGAGAGAAGGATAAATGGTGTAGATGAAACCAGCAAAAAGAACTAATTCATCACTCAAGCCACCCGAGAAGCGTATGACAAATACAGAAAACTACGACACTGAGCTACAACCTGGTATCAGTGGAACGACAAAACCACGACACTGAGCTACAACCTGGTATCAGTGGAACGACAAAACCACGACACTGGGCTACAACTTGGTATCAGTGAGACGACAAAAACACTACACTGGGCTACAGCCTGGTACCAGTGAGACGACAAAACCACGACACTGGGCTACAACCTGGTATCAGTGGAACGACAAAACCACGACACTGGGCTACAACCTCGTATCAGTGAGACGACAAAAACCACGACGCTGGGCTACAACCTCGTATCAGTGAGACGACAAACCCACGACACTGGGCTACAGCCTGGTATCAGTAAGACGACAAAAGACGAAAAAGGAGTCAACACCCTACCCACAGTTATGAGGCACTAAAGAAGAAAGTCAATTTTGTCACAATAATATTTATGTCGGTGTAAATTATGGAAGCGATCACTAGAAGAAGAAGCAGGAACAAAGTCCAAGAAGGGGCTGTACCTGGGAAGCCCTGGAGAAATAAGTATCAACCAGGCAGATACCAAAAAAAAAAAAGTGACTCGAATATTCACCGGCTAGGCGATTCTCCCTCACAACTCTTTAAGGCAAAAGTAGAACAATCGTTAACCGCTAAAAGTAAAGGCGGTAAATCAGTCTGTGGGAAAATTGTGATTAACATCATGAGGACTATCGTCATGGCATTCCAGATAGAACCATAGCTGTTCCGATCTCCTCTTCAGTATCTCATCAAGCGTAAAATAATCGATGATGCACATTCTGAATTGACTGTTGCGCCATTAGTGAAGTGATCAAGTCTGACAGCTCCATGTTGCACCCCTATACCGACAAACCCAGACAACGATACACAGGAGTGCCGATACAAAGGAAACATCGGGAGGGCCTTTGCCCCAGGTTTCCTCCCATTTATTTCAAAGTTTTTTTGGCATACGGAGCTCAAGGTGCCAAATACTAGTTGAATGGTAAAATAAATATAATAAAATTCTCGAAAAAAAGAAATGTATAAACAAATCTCTTTAAAGATAGCTTCTCTACAGGTTAAACGGGGCTGCTTAGTCTTCTTAAAAACTACTGGCAGCTGGGGCTCCAGGAGCCTCAGCCTCTAGGTTCCAGCGCATATAGCGATACAGTCATGCTTGTTGCCGTCATCGTCTTAATGACCGACGTAGACAAATCATCATTCTACGTCTCAGGACAGTGCATAAAACAGGAGTTTATCACTATACCTGGTCCTGTCTAGCGCCGAGCCAGTAACCACGAAAAGATGTTAATTCAAACGAGACGTAAAACGAATTGTTCGCCAAATAATCCCTGTGCTCGTTGCCTCGAACCACACATCGCCTAGCACCAAGATAAATTTAGTCGAATTATTCACGATGAATTTAATGAGTGAATCCTGTCTTGTCTGATAAAGCCATAGTGCATTTATTTTGTTTAGCATATTCGCCGAGCATGGTCTCCATTGTGAGACTGTTGTACTTTCTGCGGTTTCTATCGCGATATGGGCTGGGATATTGACATTTGGAGCAGCAAGCAGTGACACTCATTAATCTCCAAGATAAAAGTTGTTGTATCCTCAGTAAGTAGGGAAAGGTTGAAAAGCAGGTTATTTAAGTGGGCGGACAACAACAAAAGACGGAAGAACAACAGCTTCAGAAATTGTACAACCAGGTCAAGTGAAGGAGTAATGGTGATCAGGCCCAGGGGGTAGTGAAGAAAGTAATAAAATCGGCGCATCATGCGTTCATTGGGCTTCTAGGCAGGAACCTATGAATGTATGATGCGTTCCTTGGGACTCAAAGAGTTACAGCCAGCTTTCATTGTAAATAAGTTGTAACGAAGTAAGGCGACTGTCGTAAACTATGAAAAGTCTTTAAAAAAGGAGGAATAGATCAAATCTTAAATGCAAGACAGCCTAGCATTTGACACCACAATATCTAGCACGAGAGTGGACACTGTAACTGCAGCTCTCCCGTGGCTAGAGAACAAGATGCATACACATGTAATAATTGTAACAGACTCTGAAAGCATGCTGGAAAAGTAAAGACAGGGATGCTTCGAGCCGAGTGGCAAGCTTCACTGGAAAGGTCATGGGTAGTGAGCATACTTTGGATCTTTTCTCCAGGCTACGCCGCTGTGGTGGGTAGTGAACAGGCAGACAGATTGGCTGGATCTGCACCACTGGGTGGTGAATTGATACATGACAAGGAAGATGTGGTCAAGGCCCTTGGGGAACAAGCAACAGAATCGGTAGAGAAAGAAGATTATTATGGCTTAGAGAGAATGAGGCACCTGGGTGTAACCAGAGGATCTGGCCAGTTGGCTACACTCAGAGGAAAGGCAAGATGGACATTTAACTAGATTGTGACCGGTACCATCAGTATTGGAACTCTGCGCTGGCTGCTGAAGATGAGGACGGAGCATGCATGGGAATGCCCCGAGTGTTGCGATGTCAATTATTGACTCAACTCAGAGCCACATTGCCATCTTGTATGTCAAAGTTTAAGAAGAGAAGTCTCGACGTTTCTCGCGTGACTGTGTTGTTGACTATTGACAACATGGCACCGACTGTTTGTTCACGTAGGCAGTCCTTGTCTGGTGGCATTCTCGTCCTGTAGCATCGTCTAGGTCCTCCTTTTGTCAATCCCGTTGTTCTAGCTCGTCTCCTTATATCTTCTTGCCAAGTCTGGATTACAAAGTTAGCAAACAATACCAGCCGCAAGATGAAAGCGTCGGCAAGGAAATTTGCTTTGATCTTAATCCTATTGACGTGTATTCTGCTTGTTGTTCAAGTGCAGCCAACCGAGTCATCATCGACAGTCAAGATAACACCTGAACAGAAACGGGAGTTAAGGTTAGAGTTATACTTTGAGATGTAATGTTCACTAAATATGTCTATTAAAGTCCATTCGATATTATTGATTGTGGGCAACAAGTAATTCATAAAATTATTCATTGATAGATGAGTTATAGTCATGAAGGTATGAAGGTACGGTAATAATAATTGATATAATGATAGTTGATCATTGATAGCATTAATAATTAATGTCGAAGGTGTCCATCTCAGCTGTAGTTACTATATTATATTATATGTTATGTTTTTGTAATACTTGTGTGTGTATTATATATATTGTAACGATATACTGCAAAGTTTTATATATATATATATAAAGGCTCTCCTAACTTCTATATAACATATATACGTATTCTATTCTATATATAAAATATATATAACGAAACAAATATATCAGCGATATGTACTTGCGGACCTGTATTATATACCTCACACATACCACACTATATATAGGAGCAGGCTACCGCATCTCCAACTCCGAACTTGGAGTCCCCAGGTACAGTTTAGCCCCCCAAAGGTGATGCATTTTGCGCATGGCTGCAAACAACAACAACGCTAATCTGCGTCGAGCCTCAGGCACATATTATGGCGGCCAAAAACAGGGCCTCAGTTTAGATGGCGGTTTTCACGGCGACCACCTGCTGCTCATGAGTCCCCCACGCCGCCCAATGCCGAGGGAGTGATGGATTGGGGCTAAACTAGATGGCTAGGACCCACGAGCAGCAGCTTCCGCATCTCCTGCAGCTTTGCTTGTGAGTCCTAGCCATCTAGGCCAGGGTACTCTGGTAAAAATGTCTCAAACAGATAATCCTATTAACTTAAAATATGTAAAGTGTACCAGACAGTGTATACATAATGACTGTAAATTTCCTTTTTTTCCAATGGGTGTGATAGTTTGGTTGTGCGTGATCGGAAAATGCATGAAAAAATGCTACATAGTGGATTTTGAAAACAACTCATATACATTTCAAGTTAAGTACTCAGAAAATGCAGCCATTATGGGTGAAGTTAGGAATACCATAGATGTGGGGGGGGGGGGGGGGGGGGGGGGGGGGGGGGGGGGGGAAAACGACCTTGAACATTGTTTAAAGTCGGGCACGATTATGAAATAAAATCATAAGTGAATATTTTAATTCTTTGTAGAAATTAAATTTAGACTTCCTACAGCTAAATTAGTAGCAGATAATTTTTTGTTAATGATAAAGTAGAAGCAGGTCAAATGTGTTTCTGGCACGGACATGTTGGATTTGAAATAACAACAGCATATCCCTGTATATTGTACCCGTAAGTAAATACTTGCCTGGTCCACCAGTTATAACCATTCTTTAAGGTTGCACAGGGTATCTGAAATTAATGCCTGTTGAATAACAGAATGACTGAGTTGCTGTAGGGTCAGACTGTCAAGTATCTCGGGGAGGGGGGGGGGGGTGTACATCCATCTCATTAAAAGCAAATCATCATACTTCTTCTTTTTCTATCCTTCTCTCAGAAAACCTAATCAGAAGCCTTTATGAAACCTATCATTCAGTATCTATCTCTTCGTATATCATACAGCTTTGTCTTCTTTGTACAGGCCAGATTGCATATTTGTTAGCAGCACACAGTTGACAGTGTTGAAATACATGCTCAGCATTTTCTGGTGCCAAGCTATAGAGACACGCCTTCATGTTTCTTTCACTGAAAACTGTGAACATATGTTGACAAAGTCTTTTGTCCCCTGTTCTTATCTGAATATAACACGCCCTCCTCTAGAAAGGCAGTGAAGAATAAAATTTGGGTGTGTACTTTATTAGTTGCCTTCATGTTCCCTTATTCAACCAGCCAGTTTGAAAGGTAAACAAACTAAAAACAAACAGGACACTTCTTGTTGTTTTTGGAAAGTAAATGATGTATGTACATGTATACTTAAACCGCAGAATGTATGTGTTACATGAAACAGGATCAGTCACACAAAAACTTTCATTGTTTAACTGTACATAGTGAACCATATAGACAAAAATTCATAAATGTCCAAAGACTTCCACTCTCACCATTAACTTTTCTGATTTTATTGACTTTATCATTACAGGGCAAAGTCAGTTGAGATGTTCTATCATGCTTATAATGCCTACATGGTAAGTGTGGTTGATATGAGTACACAGTCAGTCAGTAGCATGTCCTTTGCAGAACATTGCTCCCATAATGACCCTCCTGAAAACTTCTAAATTACAAGCAAGATGTCCCTCGTCCGATACACCCATCTGGAGATCAACCGCCACATCCTGCAGCCATCTTCTCTTTGACCGTCCTCTTCCTCTCTTCCCAGGCATATACCCCTCCATTATTGTTTTCTCTAAACTTTCGTGAAGTTTCAAGTGACCAAAATATTTAAATTTTCTGTGTTTTTTCGTCTTAAATAGCCAACCTTCTTCAGTATTCAGTTCTTGAAATATGGATGCATTTGTTCTTTTCTTTACCCATGATATTATTAGAACCAGTCTATAACATTTGTATTCAAAGGCATTTATGCGTTGTTCAGCTTGTTTAGTGTTTGAATGCACACTTTGTGGAAAAAAATTGGTTGAGGAATCGGGGACGTCGAAGTGAAAACTTCACTGAATGTTGCCGAGGGAAGCCAGATTTGTCCTGACTGAATTCCGTGCAAGACATCAAAAGGATTGTTGTACAGGATAGAATGTATTGGAGGAAGCAACTCATGACATTATGTGTTGGTGATGATTTTAATATATTGCATAGCAAAAATACTATCAGTCCAATTGTGTAAATTACCATAACTGGAACAGCACTTGAAAATGTAAATATTTTTAACCTAAGATAGTTAATAAAAATAAAAACAATGATGGCATATGTTACAATAGGTTTAAGAATTGTTAAAAAGCTTATCTTGTAGTAGAGTGATAAGTGAAACAAACTTTAAATCTGTCTGTAGCTCAGTGATTTCGGCCACAGAAAAGGTGTTAAGGCTGTTATATCCTACTATATGACACACCTTGGTTCAAACACCTGTCGACGAAAGTCTAACTTAATTGCTGATTAGGCTCAAATATCGGCCAGTCAGGGGTCGGGGTGCCATAGTCAGTTGAACCTCAGTGTGAAACAAAGAGACTCGGCCCAAGCCAGCAGATTTGTTTGCTGCTTATACTAGCATCATTTCCTGCTGGTGATATCTCACGGTTCGGTCCTACGGTACATCAGCAAACTTTCAAATGTCCAGCCATTGATTGTCTCACTGTGTGACAGGCAATGTTCAGAAATCTGGCCGTGAAATGTTCTACCGTCTGACAGATAAGGTTCAAATATCCGCTACCATTGGCCCCACTCATCTGAGCATCGAGACCAAAAGTCCAACTATCAAATATCCTACTGTTTGGCCCCACTCATCCAACTAGCAGATGTCCTACTAATTGGCCCCACTCATCCAACTATCAGATGTCCTACTGTTTGGCCCCACTCATCCAACTATCAGATGTCCCACTGTTTGGCCCCACTCATCCAACTATCAGATGTCCTACTGTTTGGCCCCACTCGTCCAACTATCAGATCTGAGCTGTTTGGCCCAACTCATCCAACTATCAGATGTCCAACTCATCAAATATCAGTGTCCTACTGTTTGGCCCCACTCATCCAACTATCAGATGTCCTACTGTTTGGCCCCACTCATCCAACTATCAGATGTCCTACTGTTTGGCCCCACTCATCCAACTATCAGATGTCCTACTGTTTGGCCCCACTCATCCAACTATCAGATGTCCTACTGTTTGGCCCCACTCGTCCAACTATCAGATGTCCTACTGTTTGGCCCCACTCGTCCAACTATCAGATGTCCTACTGTTTGGCCCCCACTCAGATCCAACTATCAACTATGTGTCCTACTGTTTGGCCCCACTCGTCCAACTATCAGATGTCCTACTGTTTGGCCCCACTCATCCAACTATCAGATGTCCTACTGTTTGGCCCCACTCATCCAACTATCAGATGTCCTACTGTTGGCAGATGTCCAACTATCAGATGTCCCACTGTTTGCCCCACTCATCCAACTATCAGATGTCCTACTGTTTGGCCCCACTCATCCAACTATCAGATGTCCTACTGTTTGGCCCCACTCATCCAACTATCAGATGTCCTACTGTTTGGCCCCACTCATCCAACTATTAGATGTCCTACTGTTTGGCCCCACTCATCCAACTATCAGATGTCCTACTGTTTGGCCCCACTCATCCAACTATCAGATGTCCTACTGTTTGGCCCCACTCTCCATATCAGATGTCCTACTGTTTGGCCCCACTCATCCAACTATCAGATGTCCTACTGTTTGGCCCCACTCGTCCAACTATCAGATGTCCTACTGTTTGGCCCAACTCATCCAACTATCAGATGTCCCACTGTTTGGCCCAACTCATTCAACTATCAGATGTCCCACTGTTTGGCCCCACTCATCCAACTATCATATGTCCCACTGTTTGGCCCCACTCGTCCAACTATCAGATGTCCTACTGTTTGGCCCCACTTATCCAACTATCAGATGTCCTACTGTTTGGCCTTACTCATCCAACTATCATATGTCCTACTGTTTGGCCCCACTTGTCCAACTATCAGATGTCCTACTGTTTGGCCCCACTTGTCCAACTATCAGATGTCCTACTGTTTGGCCCCACTTGTCCAACTATCAGATGTCCTACTGTTTGGCCCCACTTGTCCAACTATCAGATGTCCTACTGTTTGGCCCCACTCGTCCAACTATCAGATGTCCTACTGTTTGGCCCCACTCGTCAGAGTGTCAGGACCAACTGGGAAAGGCAGGCCTGATACATGCTTTTCTTATACTGCAAGTGTCCTGATACAACAACATTAAATGTGTCTAACTTGTTGAAGAAGACTGAGCCCATTTGTATGGTCATCAAAGTCCCAGACCTGCTGGCTGCTCCCTGTTGATCTCCAGAGGGTGCAGGCCATGGTGAGTGGAAGCTTACCACACAGATATGAGGTTGAGCAGTCCTGTGCAGATTGTTTCAATTCCTTGGAGAAGCCTAGGACCAGAGCATCATGTGTTGGCTATTTATGGAAGCCTCCTTGGATGGCAGGAAATGCTCATGTTCTGTCCCCACCTTCCTTTGAGGGCTGACCAGTCTACACACGGTTGTCCTTGAACTGTTTTTCTAGGGGGCAGCACCTGTAGGTAAACCGGACAGAGGAAACACTCAAGACATCATCAAATTAACCGGGAAGGCTAACCTAATGAACAAATATCTAATGAAGTTTGATGTGTCAGCCAAAAGGCGCATATCACAGCTATGGTGTAAAAGCCACCATGCAGTTATATCACTTGGATGAACAATTAAAAAGATGAAGAAGAAGATCCAACTTATAACTGAATAACATAGTGAATCAAATTTACTGAGAGATTTTACTTATCAATTTTATTTATGCCTTAAACAGAATAATGCCTACCCAGCTGATGAATTGATGCCTCTAACATGCAAAGGCCGCTATCGAGGAACTGAACCAACACGGGGAGACATGGATGATGCCCTAGGGAAGTAAGTAATGTTATCATGGCATGGAAAGGTTAGGTAGGGGCTGCTACACCTGCACGTGTGTTGAAGGTGTGAGTAAGATAGTGACTGCAGTAGGGTATGACAGTAGACGTTGTAAGATGTGGAGCAGGTTGGGAAATAGAGAATATAAAACTATACTGGTATTTGAAATCAGGTCTGTCAAAAGCAGTATGTGAAGTCACCTTTGTGTTACCCCTACAAATAAAATCTTATATGTCATGGTTATCAAAAGCAGTATGTGAAGTCACCTTTGTGTTACCCCTACAAATAAAATCTAATATGTCATGGTTATCAAAAGCATTATGTAAAGTCACCTTTGTGTTACCCCTACAAATAAAATCTGCGTCATGGTTACCAAAAGCAGTATGTGAAGTCACCTTTGTGTTACCCCTAAAATTAATCATGGTTATCAAAAGCATTATGTGAAGTCACCTTTGTGTTACCCCTACAAATAAAATCTAATGTGTCATGGTTACCAAAAGTACTATGTGAAGTCACCTTTGTGTTACCCCTACAAATAAAATCTGCGTCATGGTTACCAAAAGTATTATGTGAAGTCACCTTTGTGTTACCCCTACAAATAAAATCTGTGTCATGGTTACCAAAAGCATTATGTGAAGTCACCTTTGTGTTACCCCTACAAATAAAATCTGCGTCATGGTTACCAAAAGCAGTATGTGAAGTCACCTTTGTGTTACCCCTACAAATAAAATCTGTGTCATGGTTACCAAAAGCATTATGTGAAGTCACCTTTGTGTTACCCCTAAAATTAAATCTAATATGTCATGGTTATCAAAAGCATTATGTGAAGTCACCTTTGTGTTACCCTACAAATAAAATCTGTGTCATGGTTACCAAAAGCATTATGTGAAGTCACCTTTGTGTTACCCCTAAAATTAAATCTAATATGTCATGGTTATCAAAAGCATTATGTGAAGTCACCTTTGTGTTACCCCTACAAATAAAATCTGTGTCATGGTTACCAAAAGCATTATGTGAAGTCACCTTTGTGTTACCCCTAAATTAAAATCTAATATGTCATGGTTATCAAAAGCATTATGTGAAGTCACCTTTGTGTTACCCCTACAAATAAAATCTGTGTCATGGTTACCAAAAGCATTATGTGAAGTCACCTTTGTGTTACCCCTAAAATTAAATCTAATATGTCATGGTTATCAAAAGCATTATGTGAAGTCACCTTTGTGTTACCCCTAAAATTAAATCTAATATGTCATGGTTATCAAAAGCATTATGTGAAGTCACCTTTGTGTTACCCCTACAAATAAAATCTGTGTCATGGTTACCAAAAGCATTATGTGAAGTCACCTTTGTGTTACCCCTAAAATTAAATCTAATATGTCATGGTTATCAAAAGCATTATGTGAAGTCACCTTTGTGTTACCCCTACAAATAAAATCTGTGTCATGGTTACCAAAAGCATTATGTGAAGTCACCTTTGTGTTACCCCTAAAATTAAATCTAATATGTCATGGTTATCAAAAGCATTATGTGAAGTCACCTTTGTGTTACCCCTAAAATTAAATCTAATATGTCATGGTTATCAAAAGCATTATGTGAAGTCACCTTTGTGTTACCCCTACAAATAAAACCTAATGCGTCATGGTTACCAAAAGCATTATGTGAAGTCACCCATGTGTTACCCCTACAAATAAAACCTAATGCGTCATGGTTACCAAAAGCATTATGTGAAGTCACCTTTGTGTTACCCCTAAAATTAAATCTAATATGTCATGGTTATCAAAAGCATTATGTGAAGTCACCTTTGTGTTTTACCCCTACAAATAAAATCTAATGTGTCATGGTTACCAACAGCATTATGTGAAGTCACCTTTGTGTTACCTGTAACTGATAGAAGCAGAGCATAGTAACACAGTATATAGAAGTGACTAAAGAGGGTTGGCAAGAAATTGGCTATCTTGTTCCTTTGGTGACATAGCTGTAAAAACCTAACCAATCATGAAAAAGCATTCAGAGGGTTTGGTTTCTTTTTCTTCTTGGAATTCATCAGCTGTAAACTGTAATGGAAAGTTCTGGTTGTTCCTCCACTCTGGACCTTGGTCCTGTTCCAGAAGAGTTTTGCATACACATCCATATTGCAGATCTGCTTTATTTGTATGTAAACCTTTGGTTCCTCATGACTTAGGCAGATGCACTCCTACTTCAAAGAAAACACCATCAGATGCCTTGTATGAATACTTGTTGGAGTAGCGAGTCCATGCCCCTCCCCCCATTCCACAGAGTCTCAGAAGTGATATAGATTTCATTAAAATCTTATGTTTCGTTGATAAAAATCAAGAATAATAATGAATTGTGTGAAATATTAACAGCTATTATCCATGTTCTTTACAGTTTCACATTGACTTTAATCGACACATTGGACACCCTTGCTGTGAGTATGACAGTGATCTAACATATAGATTTTGTCTGCCTGTAATAACTATTTTATTTTGAAATAGATTGAGGTAGGATTCGTGAAAAAATGGCAGAAACAGCTTTTGTGTGCAAGATATAGATTTTAGCTGACATTAGGTGGAAGAGTTGGCTGTAAATGTAAAACCTTGGCAAGAGTTCATAGACCGTTTAACACGTCTTGAGGAATTTTGGCTTTACCTCAGAATCATTAACATGTTTTGTTTTCTTGTTAATTTACAGTAGAGGTCAGTTTTCTGTTGTAATTCATCCACCCTCAAACTCCCCCCCCCCCCCACCCTCTTTCCAAAAATGAATGGAAAATGTGTAAACAGATAGGAAAACACCAAATATATGTCAGCTTTACAGCATACAATACAGTAAACAAACGTAAAAGTGTGCAGCAGTAAGCCTTAATACATAATCAAACAGCAGTAAGAAACAACATGATACCCTAAACAGAAAACAATACTGAAGTAATTACTTTATGGTAGTAACATATTCTATAAACAGATGGAAATAATAATTCATAAAATAGGCGGTGCTTGCATTCACCACTCCAAATTTTATAAAAGCATTAAGGTAGGTAGGTAAGTTGTACCCCACCAGGCCACCACACAAGCGATAAACACCCGGTGACACATAGTACCACCATGCAGATGAGGATCACCCATGGAGAGGTCCCGGAAACCCTGTTCAGCCATTAGGCCATATTTAAGGCCCAGCTATATTTAGGGTCCCTGGCAGAAGCCAGGGTGAGGCTTCAAAATAATGAAAATTTGCATCCCACATGGATAACAGAAAGAATTAATCAGGGCAGGGATAATTTATTTAGGCCAACAGTTAGAGAGAAGTCTGTAGTTGAAATCCCATCAGAGAAATTACACATTTAGTTGTATGTGAACATTTTGACCAATCTCTACACAGACTTGCAGTCATCATCGTGTGATAGATCCTTTTTAGAACATCGCTGTCATCACGGTCTGCCTGAGAGAAACATGGTCTCTCATCATCTCTCTCCCACCTCATGCACTTTCCTACCCAAGGTATCAGTTATATCCTGTGCCCATCTTCACGCTAGACGGCCCCTGCCCCTCTCTCCTAGTACTATGCCTTTTGCTGTTATTTGTTTTAGTCTACTGTGGCGCTTTATATGGCCAGAATATTTCAGTTTATGAGATTTTACAAGATGCTATTTTCCTAGCCAAGTTTCCGTGATGTTCAGATTTTTCATGATGTCAATATTTCATTTAATCTTGGTCCATGGTATTGTGAAAATCCTTCTGTAGCATTTCAGCTCAAAAGCTCCCATTTTCTTCATTGAAGACTGCGAGATAGTCCACAACTCACATCCATATGTTGCTACAGGGAAGATGCATGCTCTAAAAATGTTGACTTCAAAAATTTTATTTTATTTTTGGTGCTTAACCATAGACATTCTCACTACACTACACACACATACGCACACATGCCTGTACGCACTCACCACGCCAACCAACCAACCAACCAACAAAAATGAATGTTCAGCTTCAGAGCAAAAATTAGAATCACCCATAAGTAATCCACGTTTCAACAAAAAAGCAAACAATAACCACGAAATATTTCACAGCTTGTTGATGGTGTTTCAGGTCCTGGGTGATATTGATGGGTTTGAGAAAGCAGTGAGACATGTGATAGCAGATTCACGATTTGACGCTGATATTGTTGTGTCTGTATTTGAGACCAACATCAGAGTATTAGGGTAAGATATTTTTAGTGTGTGATTGTTTTGTATTTGGTACCTTTGCCTCTTTCAATATTGTAGTTTTATTTTGAGCATGCTTGCCTGCTGGCTGGCATAAAACTCTTTGTTTCAAATCCATGCCAGGTCAATTCAACTTAAAATGGGTACCAGCAGATGTCTTTGAAGTAAAGGCTTTATGTTGACCACAACACCCATATTACCATAGGATTGCTACTGCACACTCAAAAGCAGGATATTAGAAGACATAAATGACGCTGCTCACAGTTTGCCATTTAGGTTTCAATCCTTGGTAAAGTTTTTTGTTCTCTCTTGGAGGCAAAAATAAAATCCTGACCTGCACAGTCCATGGCAACAACACTAGCAGCGCAGCCCTAAACTCTCAGGCTCAAAGAACATTTTGCCTGCACAGCAAAAATGGTCTATACAGGCAGCTTATGTCAAAGATCTACTCAACATTCTACTCTTCACCAACTACATCTCCACTGCCTCCTTGATGAGCTGACTTGTTCTCTTACAGGGGTTTGCTGGGAGGTCATGTAGCTGCTAGTTACTTCAAGAGGAAGAAGATATCCATGCTGTGGTATCATGATGAGTTGCTGACAATGGCAAAGGAAGTTGGAGATCGTCTGTTGCCAGCTTTCAATACAACCACAGGGATTCCTTATCCACGGGTAAGTTTTTCTTTGGCTTGATGTCTCATATTACAGTTGTGTATGTAAATGTGGGTCAAGAAAGTCTCATTGACAATTTAAATGTAGCAGTCTGTTCTTTCGGAAGCTGAAATATTTAAGACATATCAAGTGCCACGACGGATTGGAAAAAATTATAGCAGAAGGCGTGGTACCAGGAAGGAGGGGAAGGGGCCGACCGACATGAAGATGGGCATAGGATATAAATGACTCCTTGAGTATAAAAATGAAATGTACATGAGGCGAGAGAACTGGCGAGAAACCAAGTTTCTTTCAGGCAGACCGTGATGAGAGTGACGTTCTGCAAAGGACCTGCTACATGATGATGATGATGAGTCTGTTCTTTAGCCATGGTGTCACAGTAGGTAGACACTTGCCTCCGTCCAGAAGGTCTTGGGCTGCAATCTTTATCTATGCTAATGTTTAAAATTTACCTGGGGTTCTAGGTGGACCCAGCCTAACATGGGTGCACATCAGTGACCTGGGGAAGTCAAAGTGGCCAGTATAATGACATCACCCACCAAATATATCTTCTGTTCCAATGTTTATTCCTCTGAAACAAAAGGATCGTAGTGTTCTGTTTGTCCTCCTATACCCTAACAAAACAAGGGTCTTACAAAGCAAAGTCCCCCCCCCCCCACCCCTCCCCCCCCCCCCCGCCCCCACCCCCCCCCCCCCCCCCCCCCCAGTGAATCCATATTTGGTTACTAATTTGTTTCTCATCAAGCTTACACATGTATAGGGAATATCTGAACTTGACAGAATTTGTGTGTGTGGGAAAGTGTGAAAATAGCTCCTTCTATAACATGACTGACAGTTGTCCAAGTTGAATCCCCACAAGTGGCAGGATATTTTCTAAGCAGTACAGTTCTGACGTTGACCCAGTCTTATAGAAATGGGTAGTAGCTAAATTTTCAGAATATTGTGGGAGTTGTCTGGAACGTACAGGAGATGACTGCAGGAATGGACTACCCCATGCTGGAAAATGGTAGCAGAGAGTTAAGTCTTTTGTGTTTGTTGTTGTTAACACAGAGATTTTTCCTATCTCCTTTGCTACAATATTTGCCTAATAAGCAAAATTATTCATTGGAATTTGGCAATCACCCACATTTTTCTTTACAGCTTTTGTTCTTTCGAAATAAAGTCTGATTGGCTGATATTTTCTGCCAGATTTTATTATAACACAGTTTATATATATATTTTTTAAATTTATATATTTATGCATGAAATGTTATAGTTTTTTTTTTTTGGAATACCATGGATCAGGAAGAGGAAAAACATCAACATTCTGAATGAGTTGAACATCAAAGAGAACAGGTTCATAAACAGCATATTGTCCCAAAATTTGAAGTATTTTGGCCACATTAAGCGTCATGGTGGCTTGGAAAAAAGATGATGATGGAAGGTGCAGTTTGTGCAGGGGTTGACCACCGCAAAGACGGATACAAGACATTGAGGATGCATTGGCATTGAAAGCACATGGGGCCAGAGAGCTGGCTAGGGAAAGGGATACTTTCAGGCGTGCCATGAGGAGAGCGACGTTCTGTGTTGATGATGATGCATAGATAATGACATAAGCTGTGTATATTAATTCCCAGTTACAGCTTAGATAATAACATAGGCTGGTGTATGTTCATTCCCCCCCAAAAACCCAGCCTGACCTGTAAATTTTCATTTATGTTCACAGATAAACTTGAAGCATGGGAATCACTCCCAAGATTTTCTCACTCCTACAGAGATACCTGCACTTCGTGTGTTTTGCATCTATGCCGAGGTACCATGATTTTAGAGTTTTGTGCTGCTCTGTCCAGGCCTAACTGGCATACCTGTCTATGAGGTGACTTGTCTTTAGATGTTGTCACTTTTTTTCTACCTGGCATTTCTGTCTGTGAAGGGACTTTTCTGTCAAAGTTGTCATTGTTTGTCTGTCTGGCATTTTGTCATTGAGTTGACTTTTCTTTAGCTGTTGTCTCATTGTTTATCTGGCATTTCTGTCTATGAGAATGACTTTTCTTGAGCTGTTATCATTGTTGTGCACTTTAAAATTGAGGAAAACTGTGATTGTTATCAAAGCAATGTTTCCCCCCGTTGTGAATTTGAACAGACAAACAATAGATTGCAACAATTATTGCCTGAAGACATATTTCGCTGGATCTTGTCAGGTGTATACTACAGTGACAGTTGAGATTTCCTAAATGAAGCAGATAAATGAATCCCTTTGAATTGGAACACAAAACCGACTACATTCACAAAACTGTATGTTTCACCAAGGTAACCGCAAGATGAAGAACATGTCCTTTTGTCTGCATAATTCTGGACTAAATTGGCTGATAGCCAATGCTTCCGCAAAAGCAAAATATGCCAGGCAATTGTGTGTTCTATTGTTTGTATCTCTTTGTTTTTGTTATACCTGGTTTTGAGCTATCTGTGCTCGATTATGTGACACAAGTCGCTAAGTGTAGTTTCAGCAGTGACCTGTAGGTATTTCTGGAAAACATATGAACCAAATAAACATATGACCTTCAGAGCATGATACAGACAGCTTTAACAAAGAGATGCTGTATCTGTCATTGTCTAGTCAACCTTCATTCTGGTTTTAAACAGGCTGTCAGTGCTATAACACTGCTAAATGAGCTTTTGTAGTCAGATGAAAGTTTGCTGACAAGCAGAGGAGCAACCTGAGAATAATGTGCAAAAAAAAAATGACTTAAAATGCAAGCATTTTCTATACAGATTAAGGTGGGAGGGAATGGACTCTGCCAGGCTGAAATACTACCTATAAACATCATGTTGCAACAGAATAACTGAAAAAGGGTGGTGCTGGAGGGTGGGTGGGGGGGGGGGGGGGGGGGGGGGGGGGGGGGGGGGGGAGGGAGGGGGGGGCTATGAAATGTGCACCCGTTTAACTGAAACCTGGAAATACTTTGAAAGACAAAAGCTTTAAGTTAAAAAAACTTGAAGTTATCAGTCGATATATTTGGTCACTGTAACTAATATGTTTGTTTGCTGTATACTGTAAGCAAGCAGTTTACTGATGAATCAAGTAATTAGTGAAATTAAGGAGACCCTATTGCACATCTCCTATTCCAGCTTCAGATATATTGGGTATGTTTTAACCTGACATTCCAACCCAGTATATTTTTAATCATAATATAATCAGTTCAGTTTCTGCTTCTATCTCCAAGGCCTTCCATTCCAACAGTCACAGTTTAAAAAAAAAAAAAGGTTGTGCACTCACTTGCATACACTCTCCCTTACCCTTCTCTCACTGTCTCTCCCTCACTCTGTTCCACTCTTTCTGTCTTCTTCTGTTGTTCATCTACTTCTCACCTCTGTTTAGGAGGTCCCTGTGAATTTTTTCATGTGAACTTCTACTAATTTCTCCTGGTGTCTGGGTAGTAAGACTGGACGCCCATATATATTTTTACGCCCATGTATTTTCTTGTGCGCATTAAAAAATTCTTTTGGCAGTTGGAAATAAAAAAGCAATAGCCCAACGGCACTACCCGGGCAAAATGTGAAGTTAAAAATCTACCCAAAGTATTTCAGCGATCCTCGCCAAGTGCAACAGAGTTTGTGCACTGCGCTGAAGATTCTTCAGACTCAGGCTTTAGTTAAACTAGAACAGAGCACGTATGGGTTACACCCATGTGCAATGGATGTTGATCTGTCGACTAAACATAAACAGAACATTTCTGATGTTGGACTAAACATAAACATTAACAAGAACATTCTGATGTTGACTAAACAATAAACATTAACAGAACATTTCTGAAGTTGACTAAAGACATAAACATTAACAGAACATTTCTGATGTTAGACTAAACATAAACTTTAACAGAACATTTCTGATCTTGACAGGAGAAGGCAAGAAAAGCCATGGATTATCTGTGGTGGCCAACGTCACCGTAGCAACAACCTCATGGGTTTGGTTATCAACATTCACAATGGGGACGGGGTTTCGAAGAGGTACAAAGTGGTTTTGTTGGCTGTTGTTTATAAATTAGAGGAATTGTGCTTGTAATTTTGGGAGTAGAGCAAGAAATGTTTTGTAATACTTAAAGATCACAGGTGACAGCTGTAGCCCTACTGTAAGCACTGATTATGTCCAAGTTCTTACATTTCCTGGTCTCACTCACTGATATAGAAGGTGACAATTCTTTAGCTGAGATATGCCTGGATGTCCTTTGAGTGTGACTAACTTGAACAAGCTTTCTCTAAATACAGACAGGGACATGCAGGAATCTTGGGTTTATTGAAGGACAGTTTGTCTGGACTAGAGGGAGGACTGATTGTCTGGCTAGAGGGAGGACTGATTGTCTGACCTAGAGGGAGGACTAATTGTCTGACTAGAGGGGAGGACTGATTGTTCTGACTAGAGGGAGGACTGATTGTCTGACTAGAGGGAGGACTGATTGTCTGACTAGAGGGAGGACTGATTGTCTGACTAGAGGGAGGACTGATTGTCTGACTAGAGGGAGGACTGATTTGTGTCTGACTAGAGGGAGGACTGATTGTCTGACTAGAGGAGGACTGATTGTCTGACTAGAGCGAGGACTGATGATGTCTGACTAGAGGGAGGACTGATTGTCTGGCTAGAGGGAGGACTGATTATCTGACTAGAGGGAGGACTGATTGTCTGACTAGAGGGAGGACTGATTGACTAGAGGGAGGACTGATTATCTGACTAGAGGGAGGACTGATTGTCTGACTAGAGGAAGGACAGATTGTCTGACTAGAGGGAGGACTGATTGTCTGGCTAGAGGGAGGACTGATTGTCTGGCTAGAGGGAGGACTGATTGTCTGACTAGAGGGAGGACTGATTGACTAGAGGGAGGACTGATTATCTGACTAGAGGGAGGACAGATTGTCTGACTAGAGGAAGGACAGATTGTCTGACTAGAGGAAGGACTGATTGACTAGAGGGAGGACTGATTGTCTGACTAGAGGGAGGACAGATTGTCTGACTAGAGGAAGGACAGATTGTCTGGCTAGAGGATCTTTACTGGTCCATGTTTAACATTAGCTCAAGCGATCAAGGAAAGACTTATGTATTATGATGCAGTCTGTGATATAATGGTAATCCACATACAAGGGAACATACATTATGAATGGAAATTAACACTGTTGACCACAAGGACACTGTGTGCATAAGTTGTAAGCATGCTTACGGATGCTTAGCACTTAGATATCAATCAGTTAAAGGCGATTCAGGAGACCACTTTTGGGTATTTCATAATTATCCCTTGATTTCGTTTCCGTTATCCAGTGGTCAGTATTTTAAGCCAAGATTTAGAAACCAAATATTCTTTAAAGTTAATTCTTTTTAGTTATAGCGCTTGTGATATCTTACTCCACAAGTTAAGTGAGTGGTGAGAGGAGAAATTCTTGTCTGACACCTGATATGACAGAGAACTAATCTGCCATTCTTCAGTTGTTCTTACTGTGCCCTAACTATCTTGAAAAAGAGCCATGATTTAACTCACAGGTGTCCTTGATGCCATATTCTTCTAAAATCTTCTTAAGTTTGCTTCTGTCGACTCAAGTGAATGGCTTTTCTTGGTCTATAAATTCATGATACTGACTTGAAAAAAATATTGGATTGTCTGCTGACACACCTTCTCAGTGTGAATAATTCATCTGTGCCACTCTTCCCTAACCCGACACCAAAATGTCTCAAGAATAATTTATTTGGTCTTAAACTCTGAAAATAGCCTTTTGTGCTTTGTACTACTGAATGTATAAATAAATGCCTTAGAAGAATACTAAATTTCAAATGATAGATTTCCGAACCAATACACAAATAAGGCAAGAATCCAGGCAAGAGTATGTGTCTAATTTTATACGAAAACGCCGCTGGAACTATGTCGGCCACGCCCTTAGAATGGATAAATCAAGACTTCCTTACCAAGCCCTCATTTGGACACCACAAGGGAAAAGATCTCGTGGAAGACCAAGGGAAACCCTACGTAGAACTATCATCAGGGAAGGCTCACTCATGGGCCACTCAAACATCCAAGACCTACAACAGATTGCAACAAACCGCCATGCATGGAGAGTCATGACCTCTGCCCTGTGTGCCGCACTCGACACAAGAGGAAAGACTAAAGACTACTGAATGTAAAGTTTACCTAGAAAAACACACCACCCAAAAATTGCTGGATTTGGTTGTTCTCAATCTTGTAAAGGATACGCAACTAACTTTTTTAACTAGAAGAATAAATGAGACAAAAAAACTGTGAGAAAAGTGAGAACAGATTTTTAATGGCTTTTTATCATGGCATGTGGACAGCAGTTTGTGTATGTTATTGGATATTGCAAGTTATTCAGAAGCCTGATTGCCAGTGTGCCAGACAGTCACTTTAGAATGATGATGATGTCTTGTGTGTGCTACGTGAGACTTTAAGGTAACTTTTAAGAACCTGTGTAGACTAAAAAGATAAGCTCCTAAGTGCTCATATATTCATGTTTATTTCCTGAAATTAGAGAGTGGTGTGGGTGCAGGCATCGACTCCTACTATGAGTATGTGCTGAAAGCGTATGTGCTGCTTGGAGATGATACCTATCTGTCAAGGTTTAATAAGGTAGGTGATGTAAAAACTACGTGTTTGTATATCAGAGAGATGTAACACAACACAGATATGGTCAGTTTTACGGGGAGATGAAATGTAGTGAACACAGATATGGTCTATTTTACGGGGAGATGAAATGTAGTGAACACAGATATGATCAGTTTTACGGGGAGATGAAATGTAGTGAACACAGATATGATCAGTTTTACGGGGAGATGAAATGTAGTGAACACAGATATGATCAGTTTTACGGGGAGATGAAATGTAGTGAACACAGATATGATCAGTTTTACGGGGAGATGAAATGTAGTGAACACAGATATGATCAGTGTTATGTGAAGAGGAAGACTAGTGGTTGAGATTGTTGTCATATACTGCTGTGAGGAATACAGTAAACCCTTGTTAACACAAACTCCAGGGGACCAAAAAAAGTGTTTGTGTTAACTGAAGTTTGTTCTGACCAGGGACTCATATTTCAGTGTTGCAGTTGACCCCCCTTTCCCCCCCCCCCCCCCCCCCCCCCCCCCCCCCCCCAAAAAAAAAATAAATTATGTGCTATTTTTACACCAAAGGTTGGCTACAGTGTCCCACTGTTGTCTTTGGAGAATATTACGTGATGAGACCCTAGTCTCTTTCATAATGTGAATCCTGTGCTACTGTCTGAAATCATGTGAGGCAGTTTGTTCTTTCACTGGATCAAATTCCTGTAGCCAGCTGTTTCCTTCTTCATCTTCATCGTTATTTTCTTCACCACAAATAACTGTGATGAAAGTGGATGTCTCTTTTGTAAACAGTACAACAGCCGGTGGAACAACTGAAATCTTGAATGTCTAAATTTTTAGTAGTCTCCTTTGCTTTTGACTGAATTTTAGGTCCACTTACGGTAGATTGGAACCATGTGGTTGAACCATTCTAGAGGTAATTTTTCAATAGTTTCATAATTAGCGCTACAAAGTCACTTTGAGTCTACCTTTTCTAGGTTTTTTTGTTTTGTTTGCAGATCTGTGCTTGCCCGCTTCCTCTTGTATGATTACATTTTACTGTTTGCTGGTTTTAAACTTTACGTTACTTGTACTAGCTACGTTTTAAACAATATTAAAGTTAATTTTAAATTACAGTACTGTAATTTGAACACATTATTGAACCGAATCAGTTAGTTAAATTATAGTCTTATTGTTGACACAGTAATCACAATTGTCGAGAGTAGTGTTAATGTTAAAAATAATAACTCCAAGTTCAAGCACTCAAGTAACGTGAATTCGACAATGGTTAACTTTTGACTTAATTTCTTACATAGCCAGCAGAAAAGTAACAGAAACCAAAATATGAAAATGAAAAACATTGGAAGTTAGAATTAAATGAGATCTAGTGATTCAGCAGACGAAAAACAGTTCACAGTAACAGAAATTTGCATTAGCCGATAAAGCTTTCTATATGAAAAAATACATCCCTGCTGGGACTTAAATTTTGTTTGTGTTTTCCATGTATTCTTCTTAAGCGAGTGTGTGTTAACGAGGGTTTTATGTACGTGTATAAGCACATTAAAACTCAGATATTACTTAAAGAATAATATTGAATTGTGTTAACAAATAAACAAAAACAAAACTAAACAGCATATTTATGATGGTCATTTGTCACATTTCCAGTTTCTTGGCAAATGGGTCACCCCTGCAATTGCTCTGTCTCTGTGCCGGCCACCATTGACAAAACCACACAGAATGCCTGTCACTGTGTCTTGTTACAATAGAAATTAAAACTGACTGCAGCTCTGTTTGAGCCAACAGCATATGCACACATTAAATGCACAAGGGAGCCTCTAACAATGCCCACACAAAAAGTCCACCACTAGAATTGCAGTTTATTGTTGATGGAAGCAGTAGTTACAACAGATTAACAGTTGCACATGCAATATTGTATAAGGAACCACCAGTTCTGTGGCAACAAGCGTTTGCTATTTACTGAGTCTACAATTCTATAGCCAGACCAATTTGAGTGCAGTCAAATAGCATTCCATGTAAAATCCACAGCTGACAATGTGGCACCATGCACTCATGTCAGTAGCTGGGCTAGGTACTTCGTCCACATACAGGGGGGAAATGTAACATCAGACTGTGGCCAGAAACTGATAACAGTCTCAGGCTCTAACAGTCAGCTGTCTGTCGATCATACTAGACTGCAAACATATTGTCACAACCATTTGCTTTACGATCATTTGTTCAGTGTAACAGTCATGCTGAAACCATACGTGTGTGTTTTATTTTTTATTTTTTAAAGTTATTTTTTTTTAATTGTTTTTTTCTCTGAAAGTGTTGGTGAATGGTTGATCTCTGCTTCAGTGAGAATTCAAACATGGAAGCCCAGGACAGTGTTTAAAAATCTGCTGTGTTAGGGAAATTAAACCTGTGACCACTGAACTGGCTGCTGCATTACTATATAATATATATATATATATTATATATATATATATATATATACTATATATATATATATATATATATATATATATATATATATATAATATATATAAAACAGATATGTATTGATTTGCACTTATAGAAAGAAGTAGAAATATAGAAGGACAACTAGACAACATAACAATCGAAAGCTATTGTTACTGTGCCGGAAATCAAACCTGTCATTTCCAAATGTGGAAACAAGTGTACTCCTCAAGGGTTCCCCCTCTGTTTATTTATGTGCATTACCACAGCTTCCTTTATGTATATATATATATATATATATAGAACGGATAAAGAAATTAAGGAACAGTACAACGTCACTGTACAAAACCGGTATAATGCAATGGAAATTATACAAACAATTGATGAACAGTGGGATATGTTGCGTGAGTCAATTCAGCAGACATCAAAAGAGACAATCCCACCAACCCATACAGTTGCAAAAAAGAAATGGATGTCATCCGAAATTCTGCAGTTGATGGATGAAAGAAGGAAGAAAAAGAATGATAAAGAAGAATACTCTAGAATACAAAAAGAAATAGTGAACAAATGCAAAGTGGCTAAAGAAGCCTGGCTGAATCAAATGTGTACAGAGATTGGGGAAAATCACAGGAAAGACTCACATTCCATGTACCAACAGATAAATATGTTAACAGGAAAGATGACACGTAACAGCACTGGATGTTTGATATTAAAGGATGGTGACTTATTAATGGGACATAGTAATATAATTAACAGATGGACAGAGTATATAGGGGAATTGTATGATGATAATAGACCAGACGTAGAACTGCAGACCAACAATGATGGTCCACCAATAATGACTGCAGAAGTTGAGGATGCAATACATCATATGAAGAAAGAAAAAGCACCCGGGCCAGACAACATCTCACTGGAAGAAATCGAAGCACTGGGAAATTTTGGAATTGAAATAATAACTAAACTTTTAAATGATATTTATAACAGTGGGTATATTCCAAATGACCTTTTAAAATCCATATTTATAGCTCTGCCGAAGAAACCAGGCACTTTAAAATGTGAAGACCATCGCACAATAAGTCTTATGAGTCACATGACTAAGATTTTACTGAGAATAATTATGAGAAGAATAAGAAACAAAATTAAACCAGAAATCAGCGATGAACAATGTGGATTTGTAGAAGGAAAAGGTACAAACAATGCCATATACATCCTAAGGACATTGTCAGAAAGAGCTATAGAAGTAAAGACTGATTTGTACTTATGCTTCATAGACTATACAAAAGCATTTGACTGTGTGAAGCATGCAGAAGTAATCAAACTGTTAGAAAAATTAAACATTGATGGGAAAGATCTAACAATAATAAAGAATATGTATTGGCAGCAAACAGCAGCTATAAGAATTAACAACTGTTTAGGTACATTTCAAGCATAAAGAGGGGAGCGTACGACAAGGATGTGTACTTTCACCTGATTTGTTTTCAATATACAGTGAATATATTATGAGATCTTTAATTGATATGCCCGGAATCGTGGTTGGTGGGCACAATATAAACAATTTACGTTATGCTGATGACACAGTCTTGATAGCAACAAGTCAGAAAGAATTACAGGAAATGATAGACATTGTGGTGTTAGAAAGTGGAAGAATGGGCCTCAGTTTGAATAATGGGAAGACAGAAGTAATGGTGGTATAAAAGAAACAAATTATTCCTAAATGTGTAATAAAAGTCAATGGTGTTATTTTTAGACAAGTACAGAAATTTAAGTATCTGGGCACATGGATAACATCAGATGGAAGATGCATAACTGAAATAAGAAACAGAATTGGACAGGCAAAAACTGCATTTTATAAAATGAAAAACATCTTGTGCAATATATCCTTGTCATTGAGAGTTAGAAAAAGAATTCTTGCTTGCTACATACATCCAGTTTTAACATATGGATGTGAATCCTGGACAATCGGTAGCCAGGCCAAACAATTTTTAGAGGCCTCAGAGATGTGGTTTTACAGAAGAATGCTTAAAATACCTTGGACAGCCAAAAAGAGCAACCAAGAGGTTTTAAAAGAGGCGGGAGACCGAAGACAACTTATCACTGACATCAGAAGGAGACAGTCATCATTTTTCGGCCATGTTATGAGAAGAGGGAAAATAGAACATGTTGTGACCAATGGAAAGATCTGTGGAAGGAGGGATAGAGGAAGACAACGAGAGAAGATGCTTGACAGTCTTGTTGCATGGCATGGAGGTGTGTCGGCACACGAACTGATACATGCTGCAGGAGATCGCGGATTATGGAGAGGCATGATCGCCCACGCCAGTCGGCAAGGCAACTGATGATGATGATGATGATATATATACAAATAATTGTTTGCACTCTTTGTGTTCCTGAAACGGGTCTATTTCTCTGTGTGTTTCAGCACTATGATGCTGTCATGCGTTACATCAGCCAGGGTCCTATGCTTGTTGATGTTCACATGCACAAACCAACAAGTACTGCCAAAAACTTTATGGATGCCCTCCTAGCATTTTGGCCAGGGTTGCAGGTAACACCAGCGTGTTTGATTCATGTACCCCTTATAGCTTCAGATGAACAGCATATTAGTTCTTTCTTCAGGTTTCAGGGATTGCTTAGGAGTGTTTGATTCATGTACCCCTTATAGCTTCAGATGTACAGCATGCTAGTTCTGTCTGCAGGTTTCAGGGATTGCATAGGGGTGTTTGATTCATGTACCCCTTATAACTTCAGATGTACAGCATATTAGTTCTTTCTGCAGGTTTCAGGGATTGCTTGGGGGTGTTTGATTCATGTACCCTTTATAACTTCAGATGTACAGCATATTAGTTCTTTTTGCAGGTTTCAGGGATTGCTTGGGGGTGTTTGATTCATGTACCCCTTATAACTTCAGATGTACAGCATGCTAGTTCTGTCTGCAGGTTTCAGAGATTGCTTGGGGTGTTTGTGCTAGGAAGTTAGTTGGTCTGCAGATCATCTTCGCTGCACACAGAACCATTCCTCCCCTTGTGGGTTCCGGGGCCTCATTGTAGGGAAACAAGAATTGACCCACTGCCTGCCCAAAAGCATGTCGAAAGAGTCGACTAATTGGGAGCTTCCTTCGTAGCCGGAGTACATCTGCCTGAGCGGCAAGGAACCAACAATCTGCATGCAGATAACTCAGACCTGTGAAATGGATGCACACGCAACATCCAGTTTCTGGAACAGGACTAGAGTCCAGAAGTGGACGAACAACCAGAACTTTTCCGCAGGAGTTTACAGCCGGCGAATGCGAAGAAGAAAAACCACTCAGTTCATAAGTGTTTTGATTCCCTTCTTAGTAAATCCCACAGTGTTTAGCAGCTGATGACACCAGTTCTGTGTTGGTTTATTCTTCTTTGGCATCCCACTTCTTCTTCTTCACTTCCTCTTTTACCGCTGTGGGTGTCGAGGGAGATATAAGGTTCTGTCTCTAGCTCTTCTGGCCGCCTCGACCATAGGCACATCGTGCTGTTGTAGAGTTTTTATGATGTTATCCTTCCATCTTGTTCTTGGTCTACCTCGTGCTCTTCGTCCTTCTTCTTTTTCCATGTATGCTTTGTATGGTATGGTGTCACAAGGCATTCTCTCTATGTGGCCAAACCATTTCACTTGCTGTCTTTGTTTTCGCTTTTCTGTCTTGTAGTCCCTTAACATAGCCATGGTCAGATACCGTTTGATCAGTCCATTTATATCTCATTGTGTTTTCTGTAGCGATAATAAATCCATTGTCGGCCTGCTAGGCCTGTCGCAACTTCACCAGAGCCCTGTTGGCCAGGACATTTCGCGGTGACACAGGGTGGCCTTCTTGGCTACCGTAGCGGTCTCGTGGCACGAGGCCACACCATACAATCCCCTGCTTTGTTCTGTTACCACCTCTCAATACGAGGACGTGGGGTTGGACTTTGAGAGGCTCCACATAGGCATCCCACATAGTGCTCATATCTGGCCTCACCCTTCAGTTTTTGCAGTCATGGTTGCAGATTCATAGTCGTCACTTGATTCATGCAGCTGTCTTTAATCTCCAAGAATATTTAGTACATCAGCCTAGTCCATTCACATTACCCTCCAAAGAAGCCCTGCCCATAAGACTACCAGCTTGTTCATTTCCTCTGTTAATACTAGAAAATGCTTAGATGGTTCATCTCAATTATCTACAGTAGCAGTAAAATACACTTAAATAAATAAGCACCTATACACTAATTATAAATATTGATGTACATGATAGATTGTAAGAATGATTGAATGGGTATCAGAAACATAAAGGAAACAGTTCTTATACCATTATTTAGATAAAATGACTAATACATACCTTTCAAATCACCCCTTGAGTACTGATTGAATGAACATAAGAAACATGAAGGAAACAGTTCTTATACCTATATGTAGATATAATAAATAATAAATTACTTTGAAATGAAAGCTGCCGTGGTCTAGCGGCTTAACACTCGCCTGCAGATTGGAAGTTTGTGGGTTCAAGTCCGGACAGGGGCTGGACTTTTTTCAAAAATGGCCTTGGCTCCCCGGTTGACCCAGCCTTGAGTGGGTACCAGGTCGGGCTTATGCGTTCACTTTATGACTGTGCAATCACCCCTCGAGGTCTGATTGAATGAGTAAAAGAAACACGAAGGAAACAAATCTTATATCATTATGTGGATATATTAAATAATATATTGAAATCACCCCTCGAGGGCTGATTGAATGAGTAAAAGAAACACATAGGAAACAAATCTTATATCATTATGTGGATATATTAAATAATATATTGAAATCACCCCTGGAGAGCTGATTGAATGAGTAAAAGAAACACGTAGGAAACAAATCTTATATCATTATGGGGATATATTGAATAATATATTGAAATCACCCCTAGAGGACTGATTGAATAAGTAAAAGAAACATGAAGGAAACAGATCTTATACAATTATGTGGAAATAGTCACTAATACATGACATTGTAATCACCCACACAATGGAGGTTGGACGTGGTGTATCCACCTCTCACTGTGGGAATATTATGTGTGGAACCATAGTCTCTTCTACAGTTTTAATCTGATAATCACTGTCTGGAACCACCCACCATAGGAAACGATAGTCAATGTTGAGGTTAACTAATCTTTAAGGCACAGCACTATGTGTGCAGTGCCCCCGAGATGTGAAAAGGGTCCTTTGCCTTTGTACTGTTAATTAAGTTTACATAAGTTAGAGCAGCAGCTGAGCGTCATTGCTGGATGTAAACTTTCAGGTGTTGGTGGGAGACATTGGGCCAGCTGTAGAGACTCATGAAATGCTGTACCAGATTGTCCAGAGGCACAACTTTCTGCCAGAGGTGAGTGTTTCTCTCAGGTTTCCGGTTTTGTTGGCTGACAGCAGCTGATTCTCAAAGTAAAGGTTTTTTTTACACGCCAGTGGCATTTCGGGCATATGAGGCTAGCTAGACTCCTACTTATATAGACCAATCAGCCCTAGCTGGGTGATGTGTACATAAAGACGGTTGATGTGCCACAGTAAAGGGTCAGGTCAGTAGTAAGAGACAGCAGGGAGAGAAGGAAGCCACAGTATAGGGTCTGGTCAGTAGTAAGAGACAGCAGGGAGAGAAGGAAGCCACAATAAAGGGTCAGGTCAGTAGTAAGAGACAGCAGGGAGAGAGGGAAGCCACAGTAAAGGGTCAGGTCAGTTATACAGTAGATGAGTTAACTGTCAGTTATACAGTAGATGTGTTAACTGTCAGTTATACAGTAGATGTGTTGACTGTTGGTTATACAGTCGATGTGTTAACTGTCAGTTATACAGTAGATGTGTTGACTGTCAGTTATACAGTAGATGTGTTAACTGTCAGTTATACGGTAGATGTGTTGACTGTCAGTTATACAGTAGATGTGTTAACTGTCAGTTATACGGTAGATGTGTTGACTGTCAGTTATACAGTAGATGTGTTGACTGTCAGTTATACAGTAGATGTGTTAACTGTCAGTTATACAGTCGATGTGTTGACTGTCAGTTATACAGTAGATGTGTTGACTGTCAGTTATACAGTAGATGTGTTGACTGTTGGTTATACAGTCGATGTGTTGACTGTCAGTTATACAGTAGATGTGTTGACTGTCGGTTATACAGTCGATGTGTTGACTGTCAGTTATACAGTCGATGTGTTGACTGTCAGTTATACAGTAGATGTGTTGACTGTCAGTTATACAGTAGATGTGTTGACTGTCAGTTATACAGTCGATGTGTTGACTGTCAGTTATACAGTCGATGTGTGTTGACTGTCAGTTTATACAGTCGAATGTGTTGACTGTCAGTTATACAGTATATGTGTTGACTGTCAGTTTTATACAGTCGATGTGTTGAAGGTCAGTTATACAAGTAGATGTGTTGACTTGTCAGTTATACAGTAGATGTGTTTGACTGTCATGTTATACGGTAGATGGGTAACTGTTTCATGTTTTGTTTCCAGCATTCACTACAGACTTCCGAGTTCACTGGGGGCCAGCACCCACTACGTCCTGAATTTCTTGAGTCAACATATTTTCTTTATCAGGTAAGTTTGCCGTTTCCAGTTGTGACGTTTTTGTTTTTCACATCTGTAAAATTATTTTTCTTTGTAATTTCAATATTTCCTGTAGGTTAGATTTGCTGTCCCTGCACTGTTTTCTTCAATATTGTCACTTTTTATATTTTTCTAAAACGCATTGTGTTTAGACGTGATTTTTTTTTAAGTAAATGTGCAAAATTTGCCTTTTGTTATTCCTGTAGTTTATTAACTTGCTGCCATAAGTAATTGATTTACGATATTCTGGTGGGAGGAATACTGATGTGCGTCTAGAATGACCCCAGAAAAAATTTGCTATCTGTCAAGGAAAGTCCAGCAAATCAGGAGAAGCCTGTAATGTATATAAACCTTTTTTATTTTTTTTCCTAAATAAGGAGCATTAATTTGAAACCCATTCCAATGGCTTTATTACAAAAGCATCAAAGAAACATCAACAAGTGTGGCATCATTCAACAAAGCATTAATCAACAGGTGTGGCACAATTAAACAAAGCATTTATCAACAGGTGTGGCATAATTAAACAAAGCATTCATTTTGAATGAAGTATGCGCCATGGGTTGTTCAGAATAAGCCGTAGTATTCATTCAGGCAAGCACCCCATTACTTATATAGGCAGTGAAAAGGATTGTGGTTGCTAACTGAACCGAGTGTTTACTGCGTTTATTAGATCATACACACTGTGAACACGCCTTTCTATATTGCAGTTTCTTAAACCTTTTGGATTGTCCCGCTTGACACATCAAATTCTTTTGCCAGTGAACATATGCTTTGACAGCAGTTCAAATGTATTGCTGCATCAGTTTTGGCTATGGCTTTCTTTTCTGTTGCAACAGAAACAAACTGTGCAGAATATATTATGAACTCTGGTCCTTCCCAAAGCATGTGTGCCCAGTCTGTCACCATTGTTTTTGACATGCATTTGTTATTGTATGCTTCCTGCATTCTTCAGTGAATGTCCATTGGTCAGCATCTGGAAACTGAGCCGCCACTCTTTGTATGAAAACAGAAATTCTGATACTGTGTAATAAGAAATACCAGAGTGTAACTTCCACTTCCATGTTAATGAAGACATTCCTAGAAAGAGTTTTTTGAAAAACAAAAACACAACTAATGTGGCAGCTCTTCAAGAACAAATGAAAATTGTAGCTGGGTTAGAGAAATAAGCATAGATCAATGTTCTCTGGAAGATGAAGAGAGGATGGTTTGGCCAAATGATAGAGTCGGGATTTTGGGAATTAATAACATGATCAAAGCATCAAAGAAACACTAACAGAACTATTCAGTACAAGTGTTTTGAGGCAGCCATTTTACACAGTTTTAAAACAGTTTTGTAGAAATTAAATTTTTTTTAACATGAACCTGTTTTGAAAGTTCAATTGTGTAAAAAAATTTTTTTTTATCTGAATGGGTTGTGACAATTCTCATTTATAACTGCTTTTTATCTACTGTTTTTTAAAATAATTGATAGAATTGTTAGTTACAGTAAACACTGAAGCTCTTGGGGCAGATCAATGCCTTTCATGTCAGTGGATGCCAGAGTGAATGAGTATTTTCTGTGAACAATAATACTTGTATCTTTCACATTTGATACTAATCTTCCAAAGTCTGAGATGTCTTGATTCGCTGTTTCTCTGTTTAATCATATAGCACACATGTATGAATATCTTCTCTCCTTTATCTGTCCATGATGTCTCTACAAGCAGGGAACGCTTGTGGTAAGCACATTAGCTTTTTCAGAAACATTTACCTATTCTCGACCTATTGATCCACTCATTTGTTGACCTAGGCAGTAGACTGACTGACTTCTAGACCTGTGCAGTAAACCCATTTACTGATTGAGCATGAGAATAGGTCCAGTCACATTTTGACCAAGGTAGTAGACCCACTCATTGTTTTAAATTCTTTCCAACACACCCCCCCCCCCCCCCCCCCCCCCCCCCCCCCCCCCCCCCCCCCCTCCCCCCCCCCCCCCCCCCCCCCCCCCCCCCCCCCCCCCCCCCCCCCCCCCCCCCCCCCCCTCCCCCCCCCCCCCCCACCCCCCCCAGGAGACTGACTGACTTCTAGACCTGTGCAGTAAACCCATTTACTGATTGAGCATGAGAATAGATCCAGTCACATTTTGACCAAGGTAGTAGACCCACTCATTGTTTTAAATTCTTTCCAACACACCCCCCACCCCCTCCCCCCCCCCCCCCCCCCCCCCCCCGCCTTTTTAATGACATAAAATATACAGAAAATATTCTTGTTCTTACTTTCAAACAGGCAACGGCAGACCCATATTACTTGTCAGTTGGCAAGACTGTCTTGGACAATCTGGAACAACATGCCAGGGTGGAGTGTGGTTTTGCAGCCATCAAGGATATAAAAACGGGCTCCCACGAGAACCAGTAAGTACCTCCATTTTTGACAGATCTAAAAATGTGTAACAGCTCTTCGATTTTTATCTGGAGCAAAGTTAATGCTTTTTTAAAATGGAGTAACTTTAATGGAAAGAGGCAGGAGGATTTTTACAAATGTCAGAAGATGTTAAGAGATTCATTTTGAGAAGTAGACATTTTTACAGTGTGAATTTTAACATGGTTGCCTACAAGTGCCTTGAACTCCTGCCCAGAATATCACAGTCATTGTTGACTGGTTCATCATTTTAAAAAAAAATCTGGCTATGACCACCACACAAATAGGCAAGAGTGCTAGCTGTTATGCTACAGGGACACATGTCAGCTATTACTTAATGACAACAATTGACAACTTAATTGTTAAAAGTGATAATTTTTTCTAACTGAAATTATTATTCAGTTGTCATTTAGATATAGTTGCTTTTTGTGTGGTTTGTTTTAACGCCCTTGTTAATATAATCATCCTAGTTTCCTTTGAGTTGAAGCTGTTGTTAATAGAAACATTTAGCAAGATGTACATCTAATTTGTTTCTTTGATTTATGTTTCTAGAATGGACTCCTTTGTTTTGGCGGAAACATTCAAGTACTTATACCTTCTGTTTTCTGAAAAGGAGGATATAATTCTAGACCTTGATGACTTCATATTCACAACTGAGGCTCATCTGCTGCCCTTGACCCTGTCAGTGGGCAACTATTCCTGGAAGACCCCATCCAAAGCTCACCCTGACATCTACAAATTTGACTTGATGTCAGTAGCCGAGATGACCAAAGCAGTCGATGAAGAAGCCAACATTGAGAGCCCAGGTGGAAGCGATTATGATGAAGACAGAGACATCTGCCACAACTACCACGTTACAAACACAGAAGGCTCAAGCTACCCCCATAAACTGAGGCACCAGTTGCGTGACATGGTGGACAGGTTGCACCCCAGAGTTCAGACAGAGCCCCCGAGACTCAAAGCTGCAGATTTTGTGGCGGGCAACAAAGAGCACCTGGAAATTCTCCGTGACATGGGCATCAGGATTGCCACTATGCCTGATGGACGCATCCAGTTGCTGCACACTTCCTTCGGAGGCTGTGTCCCCGTGCTCATGCTGATGCAGGTCTGCAGTTCATGCAGGAGATGATTGAGCTCAGCAAGCTACAGAAACAAGACAGTCAGCACGATCCCATGTATGTTAGGCTCATGTCAGATCCTTTCAAAGGTGAGGTTGTTTATAAAGCAGGTCCTTCCCAGTTTGGATATAACTTGAGCAAAAACCCACCGGTACAAGGACAGCTGGCTATCACCAAACCGTTTAGAGCCTGTGCTGATATTGAAAATGGCGAAGAACTGAAAGGAAAGATCGCCATCATTGAGAGGGGAGACTGCATGTTTGTTGACAAAGCAAGAAATTTGCAAAGGGAGGGTGCCATTGGCGGCATAGTTCTGGATCAAGCTCAGGGTTCTTCTAGTGAGTTGCTGAGTTTGTTTGCCATGTCCGGAGATGGCACTAATGACATTACCATTCCAATGGTGTTCCTCTTTTGGAAACAAGGGCATGACCTCTTTGAAACACTGAACAGATATCCTGACCTGCTTGTGGAACTCACATCAAAAGAAGGTAAGTTTACAAAGGGAGAAATTTACAATTGCGTTCTGTAAATCTTCTTTTTCTTTTTCTTCTTTCGTTCACTTGAAATAGATTATCTGTATCTGCAATGTTGTCTCTAGTATGCAAAATCATCTTCCATTTTATGTGTAAATCATGTCCAGTGGATAAGGATGGTGAAGAAAAGAAACTGATGCTGGATGGAGCACACATTGAGAATAGCTTAACTACAAAGTCTTTCCCTGGAACCCACAGGTCAAATGAAATAATGGGATACCTAAAAGACTACTGGAAAGGAGGTTCAAAGACTGAAATGAATAAGATAGGGAAGCTGATGGATAGCTCAGTGAGTTCTAAAGTAATTATTTATACCCCCTAATTAGTCACATAGAAAAAAGTCACACAATTAGTTGTGTGGACTCATAATGGCCCTATGGATATATTTATGTATGTTCAGCTATTAGATGCTGATTGTTCTGGTTTTTATTTGTTTTTTTTGGGTGTATTTTTCTTGTCATTTTAGACAGCCTTCTGCTGAAAAAGCGCCCCCAAAAAACATAGACTTACTGAATAATTATCATAAATCAACATTTAACAGTACGCATAAAATCGGTTGTCAGTATTATCAATTTGCAGAAGCAATTAAAATATACAAACAACAGAATCCCTGAAACATTTGATTTGATTTGATTCAAGAACCGACATCACAGCACTCGGGGCATTCCCATAAGCGCTCCATCCCCATCTTCAGCAGCCAGCGAAGAGTTCCGATACTAATGGTGCCAGTAGCATTCTGATTAAACATCCGTCTTGCCTTTCCTCTGAGCCTCGAGCGGCTGCCAGAAACTCTCGTCACTCCCCCCTGCATCAATCTCACCAGATTGTGGTGATCCGTTTGCACCTCCGAACTGTATACGCTCTCCCACAAGGCACTAACCATGTCTGCCTTATCATGTATCAGTATTCCACCAAGTTGTGCAGAGCCAGCCAGTCTGTCTGCCTGTTCATTTCCCAAAACACTGGCGTACCCGTAGAAAAAATCCAGACAATACTCCTCACCCGTGTCCTCTGCAGCGAAGCATCTATAAGAACAGTTTGTAACACCAGTATATTTCAGTGTTTCAAAGAAACAACAAATATTGTAAACGACAGTATTGCGGGACAGATACAAGTTTACTTACTTTAAACTTAGCTAGTCATGTGGTTTCAGTTTCTTAGATCGAGTGCAAGAGCAATCAATCTGCTAACATCAGGTGCATCCTCACAACCGACGCACCAACATATCGGTGAAAGGTACCGAGAAGTTCAAGGTCATGTGGGAAAGTCTCAGGCAGAGGGAGCTGCTGTTCAGTAGCCTGGCGGTCACAGTGACCCCACAGGATTAATTGAGCGTTAAAAAGATTTTTTGAAGCATTGACTGAGATTATGTTAAAATAATCAACTAATATGCAGTTGTCGGCGTCTGTGGCTTAGGCATTACTAACGCGCTTTGTAATGCCAGGCTGCCGGGTTCGATCCCAGCTGCGGGCGATTTGACAGCAGAACGTCTTGCGTTAGCTTTGACCATGGTACTGAGAGCTAACCATTAAGAAATCAGTGGCAAACTACAGAATGTAAAATTTGCCTAGAAAAACTACAACAGCCAAAAAAAAGTGCTGGGGTTGGTTTTGCAATGTCCTTAAAGGATACACAACTAAAAGAAGAAGTATGCAATTGATAGAAAGTGGTAACCACCTCGTCTGAATTCTCATACTATATTTTGTAATGTCAGATGGGTATTGTCTTCTGCTTCTTCTTCACTTCCTCTTTAGCTGCTTGGGATATCAATGAAAATGATTTTTCTGCTATTAAAATTGCTTCGTTTTTGGTACCATGTAACCAGCCTGTGTATCTCAGTATATTCTTGTAGCGTCCAACTTGCTAGGCCTGTCACAAGGTGATAATTTTACTGCTTTTTTTGTCCTCATGGTACAGTTATACTTATTGAGGACAAACATTCATCATTGAGACTATTCCACAGGTGTCCCGAAACCAGCACAGCCTAGCTCTGAAGTTCCGACTCCTGTAGTCAGTTCAGATCCTGCCTCTGCCACCTCTCCAGCTGTGTCACTCCCAGACTCAGAACATCCTGGGAAAAACCTCATTGAAGAAACAAGCACTGTAGAAATACCACCACTAGCTGTATCCACAGCTTCTACGCCTCCCATTTCAACTACATCATCAGAACCAGTTGGTGGGTTCTCCAAATCAGAGCATGCTTTCTACCATCATGAGGTGCTTGATGCTTCTACACGCCAGTATTTTCTGCAGGCAGGCACCAAGTTCCTGCACCTGAGCATTGAAGTTTCTCCCAGAGAAGAGGCAGATTCAGAAGAAGACTGTAGAAAACTAAAATATGAGCCTCTCCCTGACGGCTCTAAAATGTTTACTTTTTACCTGCGCCATAGACTGTCTGGCTTGGAGAAACCCAACCTCAACGAAATGTACCTGGATGTAATCCACTCCTTGCAGCACCACACCAACTTTGAACAGCTCGACCAGTCATCTGAGTACATGAAAGCTATAGCCAGGTTCATGGAGTCAGCCTTTTTCTCCATAGAACGCATTGATAATGTTTCACTGGAGGTCATGCGTCATTTTACAGCAGTCATTCAAACAAAGCACAATTTTCGGCAGGAAGAGTCCATGTCTGTTGGTGGGAACAAACATGCTGGGGTAAGTCCAGACATAGCACCGCAGCCAGCCACCGGTGCCCATGTTGTGGAAGTTTCAAATAAGGTCTTGTCATCATCGATCATACCGGAGGCTAGTGCTGACACTCCGCTCGGTGCTGAAGGCAGCGATATCAACACAAAAATGTCACATGTCTCTGAACATGGTGAGCATAACTATCCATCTCATAATGAGTTTCTACAGCCATCTCAAACTGCAGACTTTACTTCTGATTGCTCTGGTCTTCAATCATCTTCCATAGAACCAGCCTCCATAGAAGTGCCCAAGTTGGGTTCCTCAGACATTCAGTCTTCCTTGACTGAGAGCCATGTTCATAGTGAGTCCAGGCAACAGTCTGCAGACAGTTTACATGTGAAATCCAATTCTGCCGGATCTATAGAGCAGAAACATCTAGATCCGCAGTCAATAGCCTCCACACCAGCAACATATTCAGATACACAGTCGTCAGCCTCTAAAGCAACAGCACAACCTGAGAAAGAAGAGGATGCACAGAATAACAGAGATGAGTTATAAGAACCTTGTCAGTGCAAATAGTTTGTGAGTTGTGAACAAACACTTGCCGTTTATAGTTAACGATTAAATTATTCTACAGCCTTATGAAATTAGTGACCAGCTTATACACAATTTTAGGAACAGGACAACACATAGATGATCTTTATATCCCCCCCACCCCACTCCCTTTCCCAGCCATTCACTAAAATAACTGGAGAAAGCGAAGAATAAGAACAACCAATCTATAAAATACAATAGTAGTAAAGTATTTTTTTTTTTTTTTGCAAAAAAAAACACCAAAAAAACCAGCAAATTTTAAGTTTATTTATTTGGTTTCATTCTGCATGGTTTCCGAAAGATCATGGTTAACACCCTGTTTTGCACTTAAGCAATCAGTATTGCCACTTTGCACTTGACCACCTACCTAATTTGCTTGAAGATCACCAGCCTTTTTTTAATTGGAATTGTCTGTTCAAGTCTGCCTGGCCACTATGGCGGCACAAGAATCAGTGAGTATTTCATGCCATTGTTTCAGTAACCACAATTCTGGCTGGAAGTACTTGCTCTCCAGTTTTTGTTCTGTGATACTTACTATGCTCTTTTGTAATTTCTTTACGTCACATTGTGTCATTTTTGTTTTGTTAGCCCAGTTATGAAAGATTGTACATACTTTAGATACCTCGAGATTGCAAATATATTAGATGCTCTCTGTTAATTTGTTTTCTGCTCACATTTGATTATGAATACATCGATACCTACATTTTCTTCAAAGTGAACACTGATAGAGATGGAAGCTGTTGTCAGCATAAACATACTAAGAAACATACATCCGAGAAGATCGGAGAATTTATGGGTGTGTCCCATGCACATTGAAGATATTCCTGTAAATTAACAATGAACACTAACAGGAGATTTAATGGCAGTATTTCTTCTATCCAGGTATTGCTTTTTCTGCCATTTGTGTAGAGAACCCCCCCCCCCCCCCCCACCTCATCCTCTTGTAAGCCAAATTTGGTTATTTTAATGTGTTATCAACCACAGTCAGTATCATTACATACAGGACATGCCAGCCAGTATCTGCTCTCTGCCAGAAGATGTCAGTATCTGCCCTCCCCCCCCCTCCCAACCCCACACTCATAGATGTTGGTATCTCCTCTCTGTCCGTAGATGTTAGCATCTGCCCTTGCTCCCCTTCCCCCACCCCCACACTCATGGATGTTGGTATCTCCTCTCTCTCTTCTCTCTCTCTCTCTCTCTCTCTCTCTCTCTCTCTCTCTCTCTCTCTCTCTCAAAAGATGGTGGAGTATAAGATACTTCTTCTTCTTCATGTGTGCAGGCTATAAACTCCATCAGAAAGTTCTAATTATTCATTCACTTCTGGACTTTGGTCTTGTTCCGGAAGTTGAATTTTGTATTCACATCTATTTTACAGATCTGCTAATTCGGTATGCAGACTGTTGGTTCTTTGCCTTTTAGGCAGATGTGTTCTAGCTTTCGAGAAATAGGGATACAAATTGTTCTGTAGAATACTGAAACAGATATTTCAGATTCCTTATAGAATTGCTTGATTGTATATTTTGTTCTAGCCGTAGTGGGTTTGTTGTTGGCAACTGCGGGCTTAATTTTAAACATATTTCTATCACATGTTTACTTAATGAGGTCATTTAAACAAATAAAATACAAATTAGCAAACACCATTTTTCTTTTTCCGTGTCAGATTCTTTCCTAACTCTTTGACTCCCAGAGTGTTTAGCATCACAGGCCCAAGGGGTAGTAAAGAGAGAGACATAATATCGGTATATCATGCGTTCCTTGAGACTCAAAGAGTTAAACGTGAACTGAGTCCCTGATTCTTGCTGGGCACTATTAGAACTAGCTAATTTCAATTTTGGTTTCCTGTTTTTATTAAAAAAAATATTGAAACTTCTTATGCTTGAGTTGTCCATAAATCTTATAGAAAAATACTGAAATCAGTTATAGCAGCATTGTTTCCTTGGTATAGGAGATTACCAAAACTAGTTACATCTTGTTGTACTGTGGCTTGTTTTCTCTAACATGGAAAAAAAACTAAAACTAGTAACTCTTGTTGTAGAGTGGCTTGTTTTCTCTAACATAGTTTCTCTAAAATAGGAAAATACTAGAACTATCCAGATTGTTTGACACCTGAATTAAGTTTCTATTCCTTATTTTAAAAAAGCGCTATGGAGACTAATTAGGCTGAAGTTTTTTTTTTTTTTTAAATGAATTTGTTCTAGTGGAATATGCAGAAACAAATTGAACATAAATAAATGTGTATTCCTGAGATGTGTACATACATAGTGAAACTGATGAAGGCTGAATGATGCCCCTTGATTCGGGGGTTAACCTCTAATATTGTTGCCAGCAAATGATGGTTGAGAAAACTACATGCAGAATTCAAATGGCTAGATGCTTGCCGCAGATCGGAAGGTTCTGGGTTCACTCCCTGGTGGAGCCGGGCATTTTTCAGAAATGACCTTGGCTCACAGGTCCACCCAGCCTTGAGTGGGTACCAGGTGCATTCCCGGAAAGTAAAGGCAGCCGGCGTGATGCTGACCACATCACCCATCTTGTGCCGATTGGTCTATAAAAATAAAGGTCTAGCCCTATATGCCTAATGGTGTGGAAAAGGGTCCTTTACTTTACTTGTTTGTGTGTGTGTGTGTTTACTTACAAGTTTAAATTTAAAAAAAAAATGAAAAAGCACATTATTGTCCTAATTGTCTTCAGTTTCATTACATACATCTTAACTGCACTTGTTATTGGTAAATGGAAGCCTGGTATTAAGATGCTTAGTGCCAATATTTGTTTTGTTAGGTTTTTTATCTAAATATTATTTTCGATATGGACATTCCTGATAGGATTATATCTTTTTTGCCAATACTCTTATTATTTGTCTTTTATAATTGGAAATTTTATTCCAACACCCTTTTTTTCCGACTGAGTTTTGTGAGCTTGAATATTTCAAAAGTGTATTGTGTTTTGCTAGCGTTCTGTTTTGTGAACTTGCATATTTGTATAGTATTTGATGTTTTGCCTATGTTGTGCCTGTTCTTATCTGCATTGCCGAGTAAACAGATCTTCCAGTTAGGGAAATGATTGCCAATAAGTGTTCCTCATGTTTGAACTCGAACCCTTTATTGTTGCTGTTTTGAACTGTGCAGTTCATGACCGGAAAGGTGAATGTTTGCTTTAAAGTTTAACAATGTTTGTAAGTATTTTCAATATTGGTGTAATAATTCATGCCGATTGTAATAAATTGGTGTGATGTATCTGTAACTATGCAAATCTGTGGATGTGTCCATGTTGATGAGACTGTTGTTCGTTCAGGTATTGTCAGGGTAGAATGTAAGAGGATTCACCACTTGAATTGCTGGGTGCTCTGAGTAGTCTGTTTCACTGGAAGGCCCTGAGGTATTGTCCACCAGATGTCTCCTAACTGACCACTTGTAATACTGGGAGTCCCTGAGTTGTCCACCAGATGTCTCCTAACTGACCACTTGTAATACTGGGAGGCCCTGAGTTGTCCACCAGATGTCTCCTAACTGACCACTTGTAATCTTGGGAGGCCCTGAGTTGTCCACCAGATGTCTCCTAACTGACCACTTGTAATACTGGAAGTCCCTGAGGTATTGTCCACCAGATGTCTCCTAACTGACCACTTGTAATACTGGGAGTCCCTGAGTTGTCCACCAGATGTCTCCTAACTGACCACTTGTAATACTGGGAGGCCTTGAGTTGTCCACCAGATGTCTCCTAACTGACCACTTGTAATACTGGGAGGTCCTGAGTTGTCCACCAGATGTCTCCTAACTGACCACTTGTAATACTGGGAGTCCCTGAGTTGTCCACCAGATGTCTCCTAACTGACCACTTGTAATACTGGGAGTCCCTGAGTTGTCCACCAGATGTCTCCTAACTGACCACTTGTAATACTGGGAGTCCCTGAGTTGTCCACCAGATGTCTCCTAACTGACCACTTGTAATACTGGGAGGCCCTGAGGTGTCCACCAGATGTCTCCTAACTGACCACTTGTAATACTGGGAGGCCCTGAGTTGTCCACCAGATGTCTCCTAACTGACCACTTGTAATACTGGGAGGCCCTGAGTTGTCCACCAGATGTCTCCTAACTGACCACTTGTAATACTGGGAGGCCCTGAGTTGTCCACCAGATGTCTCCTAACTGACCACTTGTAATACTGGGAGGCCCTGAGGTGTCCACCAGATGTCTCCTAACTGACCACTTGTAATACTGGGAGGCCCTGAGTTGTCCACCAGATGTCTCCTAACTGACCACTTGTAATACTGGGAGGCCCTGAGTTGTCCACCAGATGTCTCTCAACTGACCACTTGTAATACTGGGAGTCCCTGAGTTGTCCACCAGATGTCTCCTAACTGACCACTTGTAATACTTGGAGGCCCTGAGGTGTCCGCCAGATGTCTCTCAACTGACCACTTGTAATCCTGGGAGTTCCTGAATTAGCTACCAGCTGGGAGTCAGTAAGATGTCCATCAGCTGTCTCTTCACTGACCACCTGTAATACTTGGAGTCACAAAAATCCATCAGCTGTCTCTTAGCTGTCCATGTCATGATGTTAGGCAACCATTTATCTGCTGTAAATGTTCAGTGTCTGTGTTGTTGGAGTGCAAGACAACCATTTTTCTGATGTAAAAATTTTCAATATATCTGTTGGAGTGCAAGACAACCATTTGTCTGCTGTAAATATTCAGTACATTTGATGGCATATTTAAACTATATTTCTCTGAAGAATGACCATGTTCCAGCATTACTGTTCACACATCCTTCATTACCGACTTGACTTTGCTTTGAGTTGAAGGAATAGTACTCTTTCACAGTGTATATGAAATCTTTAATTTTTCGCACTTAGCAGCTTTACCGAAATCTGTAGACTTATAAATTCTGTGTTTGACAGACATTTTCTGCGTGGAGCAGCGATAAGCATTTTTTGTTCTTTTTTTTTTTTGCCGGAGCAGGAGCAGAGTAGTGATGAGGTGACCCGACAGGAACAGGTTAAATTCATTAGAGTTATTTTTATCATCATGAAGCAGAATTTCTAATTTATATCTATACATCTTCTTCTTCTTCACGTTCACCAGCTGCAAACTCTGGGGGAAAAGTTCTGGTTGTTTGTCCACTTCTGGATTTTGATCTTTTTCCAGAGCTGAACTTTTGCATGCACATCCGATATAGGTCTGGCTTATTTGTATGCAGGCAGATGGGCTCTCACTTCAAAGGATACACCCAGATTAGGTGACTTTTACAACACATTTGTTAGGGGGCACTGGGTCTGTTTCCCCCCCCCCTCCTAAAATGGGGCCCCAGAACCCACATGGGGTTATACATTTATTATAGGACAGTGGCTTGGCTCTGGTGGTTCAACTTCAGGGCTAATTTTTGCAGTGATAGTCTCTGACTGGCCACTGACATTGTATATCTGGGGTGATCCTAGTTTGGTTTCTGTTAGAGTCATCATCATCATGTAGCAGGTCCTTTGCAGAATGTAGCTCTCATCACAGTCTGCCTGAAAGAAACTTGTCTCTCGCCAGTTCTCCTGCTTCATGTACTTTCATTCTCAAGGAGTCACTTATATCCTGTGCCCATCTTCGTGTCCCCCTGCCCCTCCTTCCTGGTACCATGTTCTGTTAGAGTATTTGTTTTAAAAAGTCTATTTCACACGGGTATCTGGTTCATCTAGAGACACTTGCTTCACTGATCCCTCTCAACTCTGTCCAACCCTCCTCCTCTGTTTTATAATCTGTCTCATTCTTTTTCTTTCTGTATCTTTCTGTCAACCTGTCATCTCTCTTTTTTCTTTTTCATGCCATCTTGCGGTTCACTTTTTCATTAATGTTTTATTATTCAGGACATATGTATAGCCCTAGTTTCTAGCATCTCAATAAATGTGTAGCAATATATTGTTAATAAAATGTATGCTTAACCAGTGTTTATAAATGTGTGTGTAACCAGTGGTGATGAATATGTGTGTAACCAATGGTGATAGATATGTGTGCCAGCTGCTGACAGATTGTAACATTTGACACCGTGTTAGTGATCGTGTCAGTACTTAGCCAGTGCATATGTGAGAGAATCATTGAGTACCCCTTCTCCTTCCCCCCCCCCCCCCACAAACACACACACTTGTTTATGTATGTTTTCCTCTAGAAATCCAGAGTTCATGTAGACATGTCTTGACTGCGGACAACACTTGTAGACATGTCTTGACTGCGGACAACACTTGTAGACATGTCTTGACTGCGGACAACACTTGTAGACATGTCTTGACTGCGGACAACACATGTAGACATGTCTTGAGTGCGGACAACACTTGTAGACATGTCTTGACTGCGGACAACACTTGTAGACATGTCTTGAGTGCGGACAACACATGTAGACAAGTCTTGAGTACAGACAACACATGTAGACATGTCTTGAGTGCAGACAACACATGTAGACATGTCTTGAGTGCAGACAACACATGTAGACATGTCTTGAGTGCAGACAACACATGTAGACATGTCTTGAGTGCGGACAATACATGTAGACATGTCCTGACTGCGGACAACACATGTAGACATGTCCTGACTGCGGACAACACATGTAGACATGTCTTGAGTGCGGACAATACATGTAGACATGTCCTGACTGCGGACAACACATGTAGACATGTCCTGACTGCGGACAACACATGTAGACATGTCTTGAGTGCAGACAACACATGTAGACATGTCTTGAGTGCGGACAACACATGTAGACATGTCTTGAGTGCAGACAACACATGTAGACATGTCTTGAGTGCGGACAACACATGTAGACATGTCTTGACTGCGGACAACACTTGTAGACATGTCTTGAGTGCGGACAACACTTGTAGACATGTCTTGACTGCGGACAACACTTGTAGAGATGTCTTGAGTGCGGACAACACATGTAGACAAGTCTTGAGTGCAGACAACACATGTAGACATGTCTTGAGTGCAGACAACACATGTAGACATGTCTTGAGTGCAGACAACACATGTAGACATGTCTTGAGTGCAGACAACACATGTAGACATGTCTTGAGTGCGGACAACACATGTAGACATGTCTTGACTGCAGACAACACTTGTAGACATGTCTTGAGTGCGGACAACACTTGTAGACATGTCTTGACTGCGGACAACACTTGTAGACATGTCTTGAGTGCGGACAACACATGTAGACAAGTCTTGAGTGCAGACAACACATGTAGACATGTCTTGACTGTGGACAACACATGTAGACATGTTGACCAGCATGAGTCTTGGTCCTGCTGTATCCCCCATCCCCTCACCACCAGTAGTCCAGTACTACTGCATCCCGGATCTTGACCAGCTTCAAACCCTACTTTCCTGTCCTTCTATAACTCCTCCATGTATCCTCACTTCCCATTGAGTTTATCAGGGGATATAATTCTCATTTTTTATAACTTTTCCATCTCTTTACTTTTCTATGTAGGTTTCAGAGGAGCTACTTTCTTATCGTACTAACAGGTTTTCTGTTTATGTGCCATTTCCTGATCCACTTGATTCACTAATCTTTATTTACATCTCTTTGTGAGCTCCACATTGATAATTTGGCCATACCATTTTATTCCTTACATTCTGAGCAGGTTTAGGTCAATAAATTACTGTAATTTATTAATAATTACACCCAATAATTACATTCATAGAACCAAAAGTTGGATCCCCACATGATGAGGAGATGTTTTCTGAGCTCAAGGAACTTTTCAGTCAGTCGATAAAATGGGCACTTGAGATATCCTGAGTCTAGTATCATAAGCCCAATGCGCTACTGGCATTTAAAGGGACTTTACTTTCACTGGTACACAGTTCTGTGTGTACTGTTTTGACTACATGTTTGTAGTGCTACTGTATTAGACACTTTGTGGTGAGTACTGTCACCTTTGTTTGTTTAGAAGAAAAAAGAAAGAAAGCCCTGTCAATGTGCCGTATAGGATCATTCATACAATCCTGCTGCACCCAGAGGCTGATGGTGGTGACTAGATCAGTGGTTCCTAGACTGTGTGACTATCTTGGGATGCTGTCCCTGTAGCTTCAGTGCCCCCTTGTCAGTACACCTCACAGATACACTGTCTGTACTATTCAGTTATGAAGTGTCCATCTTTCTGGGCCACATTATTTCAGACAACTCTTTAGTTATCTAGTACCCAATTTAAGAGGTTGGTTTGACCCTAGAGCCATAAAATGATAAAAAAAGATAACTACTTCCCCTGGTGATTGAACCCAGATCACTATCTTTATAGGCAAGCAAGCTAACCACTCACTGTATGCCTCACAAGTATTTACTGATTAGGCATCAGAGACATATCACATGTTGATTTACAATTTAAATAACAGTGGTGCCAAAAGAGTTAGGCATCCTGTAAATTAAAAACCATCCCTCCCGCTTGTTCTGTTGTAACTATACTACCTATATTGGTAACCCCTGTGTCACAGCAGTTTGTAGGTAAATAATGACACTGATATTTTTATGGCCAAGGAAAAACACCATCAGTGAAGCAAATCATGTCATCCAAACAGACACTTTCATCTATAATGTGGCCAAATTGTGACGCCACCCAGTCAGCAGACAACAAATAATCTGTTATTTTGCGTAGCTAGTGAGAGTTGACTGGTTACAGTTTACTGTGGAGTAAATAGCAAACATTCAGTTTTGTTTTAAATCTGAAAAACTGCTGTTGAGACAGTTGAATTGATGAGACAAGTTGAGAATCATTGTTTCTCAAATTCATTATATTCATTTGCCATCATCCTCCGTGCAAACATCAGGCTCCTTATATCCTTTCTCTGACTTTGGCAATGAGTTTGTCATTACAGTGTAAGAAATTTGACATCCTGGCCTAGAGTTTTCTTAATAATTTTAATGCCAGTTTTGAATCTTGAAAACCACCTGAATGTTTGTGCATGAGGGCACATTGATCCCAATAAACTTTTCTCCTCTGTTGAACTGCTTCAGTAGCACTTTTCCAAATTTAAAAGAGAATGTCATAATCATGCTTTTGTCGATAGCGATATCATTACAATGCAAATCACACTAGCTATACTGATTGGCGAGCTACTTGTCGTCTGCTGACCATGTGGTATTACAATTTGACCAGATAATAGATGAATGGTGCCGATTTCTTCTTTACTTCATGGGACATAGTAAAATCATTGTCATTATTTCATTGCCAGACTGTATACTGTATTTTAGGGTCCCAGTTGTTGTTATTCTTTAGGCCTTCCATCAGGTGGCAGGCTTGCTGATGTCAGAACCCAGTGTGGAAGCGAGTTAGAGGCTCTAATGAATAAGGTGGGGACTTGGCGTAAGCTTTTGGCTGTAGCGGGATAGGATGATAACTTGAGTTGGTTGAGAAGTCATCTATCTTCAAAGGGGGGGGGGGGGGGGGGGGGGGGGGGGGGGGGGGGGGGATAAAGGAATGCTAAGAGGGCTAGTGCACATCTGACAGTATTCAACTATTACTTTGTACATATGGATGTAAATATTTAGTGTATATTTAGAAAATGTGTTTGTTTCGCATCATAGTAAAATCTGGCATGGGTTAGCTTGGTGTCATTTGGTGCAGACATCTTTGAAGTATAATTCTGAATGATACAGATTGTGTGAGAGCAGATGATACAGTCACATTGACAAACTTCAGATATGGAATGTTATCTGTGTTTAGACAGTAATGAAAGCCAAGGCCAAGTATCTTCAGTTCTCACACCTCAACTGTCATGTTTGTTTAATTCTTCATAACTATTTAAACATAACTGAGAAATGCATATAGATTTTTTCAGATGTTTTTTTTTTATGTCTGCAGATTTTATACCTTTCTCCAGCCTGTTCCCCCCCCCTTTCCCTCCGTGTATTTTGTCATTGTTATACTCATACTTTGAAAGAGTGCAGTAAGCAGTTTCAATATTGAGGTTAGTTGTGTATCATTTACAGGACGTTGCAGAACCAACTCCAACAACCCCTGGCTGTTGTGTGGTATTTCTAGGCAAATTTACGTCCAGTAGTTTGCCATTGCTTTCTGGACGGTGGGCTTTCTTCTTGATCCCACTGTCGAAACCAACGCAAGGCGCATGGCCCGCAACTGGGATTGAACCCGGCATCCCGGAGCGTTGGCATCGACTTAGCCACAGAGCCGGCAGTTTCAATATCACATATAAAATATATTGATCACATTAGGTTCCGTTAATTTGTTAAGCAAAATGCACAGCAGCTTTGAATAATTGAACAGTGCGGAGGTGCAGATAGATCATGATGGTCTCAGGAGAAGGGTGCTTCCAGGAGTTGCAGATAGATCATGATGGTCTCAGGAGAAGGGTGCTTCCAGGAGGTGCAGATAGATCATGATGGTCTCAGGAGAAGGGTGCTTCCAGGAGGTGCAGATAGATCATGATGGTCTCAGGAGAAGGGTGCTTCCAGGAGTTGCAGATAGATCATGATGGTCTCAGGAGAAGGGTGCTTCCAGGAGGTGCAGATAGATCATGATGGTCTCAGGAGAAGGGTGCTTCCAGGAGGTACAGATAGATCATGATGGTCTCAGGAGAAGGGTGCTTCCAGGAGGTGCAGATAGATCATGATGGTCTCAGGAGAAGGGTGCTTCCAGGAGGTGCAGATAGATCATGATGGTCTCAGGAGAAGGGTGCTTCCAGGAGGTGCAGATAGATCATGATGGTCTCAGGAGAAGGGTGCTTCCAGGAGGTGCAGATGGATCATGATGGTTTCAGGAGAATGGTGCTTCCAGGAGTTGCAGATAGATCATGATGGTCTCAGGAGAAGGGTGCTTCCAGGAGTTGCAGATAGATCATGATGGTCTCAGGAGAAGGGTGCTTCCAGGAGTTGCAGATAGATCATGATGGTCTCAGGAGAAGGGTGCTTCCAGGAGTTGCAGATAGATCATGATGGTCTCAGGAGAATGGTGCTTCCAGGAGGTGCAGATAGATCATGATGGTCTCAGGAGAATGGTGCTTCCAGGAGGTGCAGATAGATCATGATGGTCTCAGGAGAATGGTGCTTCCAGGAGTTGCAGATAGATCATGATGGTCTCAGGAGAATGGTGCTTCCAGGAGGTGCAGATGGATCATGATGGTCTCAGGAGAAGGGTGCTTCCAGGAGGGAACAGAGGATCTGGTCAGTTCCCAAAACCCAAGGGAAAGGCGAGGCAGATATTCAGACTTGTTACTGGTGCCATGGAAATTAGAATTCTTCGCTGAAGATGGGGACAGAGTGCTTACGAGAATGTCCAAAATGTTGTGATGTTTATACTTAGTTTAGCATTCTGCATGCACTAAAGCTTGCCACAACAAACAGTCCTGATGTTGTAGATCCTTTGCAGAACATTGTTAACATCTCGGCCCACCTGAAAGCCTTGCGCGCCCCTGTCAGATTTCCTGCCTCATCAACCTGAATGTCCTGCCCAGAGTGCTCTTGACATCCTGTGTCCATTGTGCTGTTGCTTGACCCCTTGCTGTGATTCCAGGAACCATTACTGTTTTCTCCAAACCATTACAGATTTAAATGTAAGTAAAGTAAAGGAAATTTTTCCACGCCTTTAGGCGTAAAGGGCATATAGGGCTAGATCTATATTTTTATAGACCAGTCAGCACAAGATGGGTGATGTTGTCAGCATCATACCAGCCGCCTTTACTTCCCAGGACTGCACCTGGTACCCACTCAAGGCTGGGTCTACCCGAGAGCCAAGGTCATTTTTAAAAAGTCCATCTCTGCCAGGGAGCCAACCCACAACCTTCCGTTCCGCAGGCAAGCATCTAGCTGCTGCGCCATGGTGACTCCCTGATTTGAATGTGGCTAAAGTATTTCATTTTCTGAGAAAGGATACTGTTCAAACACAGTTGTGTGTTATTAGGGGAATCATGCTTCATTGGTTTGCTAGGCTGATGGCCCGAAGGATCTGATTTTGATAGGCATCCCTGTTGGTTTACATTTGTCAGCCTTAATCCTAGGCTACCTCCTAGGCTGCCTGCAAGACGTCAGTTAACACAGCTGAACTCTTTGAGTCCCAAGGAAGGCATCACACGTTTATAGGTTCCTACCTAGAAACCCAGTGAATGCAAGAGACACCGATTTTATGTCTGTCTTGACTACATCTGGAGC